CGCTGGGGTATCCGAGAATTGGTGTGTTACAAAGCCGTTCTTTTAGTTTTCGAAAGGCTTGCTCACAATCCTCGTCCCAGATAAAGGCACGTTTCTCCTCTGTCAATCGATGCCAAGGCTTGGCAATGTCCGAGAATCCTTTCACAAACCGCCGATAATACGAGCACAATCCAAGAAATGCATGAACTTGCGTTTTGTCTTTAGGTGTTGGCCATTCCTTAACAGCGACAGTCTTGGCTGGATCAGTCTCAATTCCTCTCTCAGAAATAACATGTCCTAGATAATTCACTTCGCGCTTGAAGAAAGAGCATTTCTTTGGACTCAACTTTAAATTTGCTCCACGCAGCTTGTCGAGTACCTTTTCCAATTTTCTTAGATGATCGTCAAAATCCCGTCCAATAATGATGATGTCATCGAGGTAAACTAGGCAGGTTTCGCCCAGCAGTCCCGCCAGCACCTGTTCCATCAAACGCTCAAAGGTTGCCGGTGCATTGCATAATCCAAATGGCATCACCTTAAATTGCCAGAGTCCCTTCCCAGTTGAGAATGCGGTCTTTTCCTTGTCCTTGGGATCCAAATCCACCTGCCAATAGCCACTTTTCAGATCGATCGTTGAAAACCATTTCATGCCACTCAGTGTGTCAAGTGTGTCATCGATTCTTGGTAACGGGTAGCTATCCTTCTTGGTTACATCATTCAATCGTCGATAGTCTACGCAAAACCTCGTTGAACCATCTTTCTTCTTGACAAGCACGACAGGTGAACACCAAGGGCTAGAAGAGGGCTCTATCACGTCATTTTTCCTCATATCGTCAATCATTTCTTCAACCTCTTTCTCACGAGCGAATGGTATACGTCTGGGCCTTTGACGAATTGGCATTGTATCACCTGTGTTTATTTTATGCTTCACCAAACCAGTTCGGCCAATATCACCATCGCTTCTTGAAAACACATCAGAGAATCGAAGAAGTAAATTTCTAGCTTTCATAGTCTCCACTTTTGTCAGACTTTTGTTTTCGTCTAAGATTTTCGTTACAAAGTCTATTCCCGTACTGTCCTTCTTCACAAGATTTTCCGAGCATTTTCTTATCCAGGCCACTTCTTCCAATACGCCCACAGGCTCTCCTTCTTCAATCGTAATTTTTGAATCACTGAAGTTGAATACCGGAATGCGGTTGACATCAGATGACCCCACGACAGTTCTTGCCGGTAGCCATGAGTTTACGTGTTCCGATTTATCAATCACAGCGCACCTTCGAGGTAAACTTCCTCCACTCCTCCTAGGTAATGCGATTGGTACGAGAGTCTGTGATTTTGGTGCAAGAACAGTTCTTCTTAAACAGCAAACTTTCCCCAGGGTTCCACCCTTCATCGGAATTTCCTCAGTTCCACATAGTAATACTCCAGATTTTAAGTCGATGTTACACTGGTGCCCTTGCAGGAAGTCAAGTCCCAGGATGCAGTCATCCAGAATTTCGGCCACAATAACCTCATGTCGATAAACACGTTCCCCAATTTTGATTGTTACATGCAGTTTTCCACTTATCGGTATGCAATGGCCGGTAGCTGATTTCATTCGTAGGCCAACAATTGGTTTAAGGTGTTTCCTGATGTTTTGCCCAAACAGCCGAACATTTATCACCGTCCTTGAAGCTCCAGTATCTAATGTTAGCTGACTGTTTTTCCCATTTACTTGACCGTCTATCACCAGTGTATTTCCATCGTTGGTTTGCTTGATGTAGATTGTTGGGGTTGTTCCACTTCCAGCCAGCGCCCACCCCGCAGCCTTGGCTGGATTTAAGTTTCCCTGCTGGTCAGAAGTTGAGACCGCCGCGTCCTGGCGGTTCATCTTCTTCGGGCAGTCGCTCCGTATGTGCCCACGCTCTCCGCATCCATAGCACATGAAGTTCCGACGGCGTGGAGGTACCTGCTCCGTTATCGTCATTTCCCGCAGACGTAAGGTACGGGAGTTGCCACGCACGGCTTCCACTTCCAATGCATGGGCCAGAGCTTCTTTCATGTTCTTGTGATGGCCCAGATGAACAGCAGCTCGTACTTCGGGGTCCCGAATACCGTCAATGAATGCTTGAAGAAGCGTGCCTTCAATCATTGACGGAGTCGACCGGAAAGCTCGACGCACAAGTTTCTCGATTTCCACGGACCATTGCTGTAGGCTCTCATTAGCACGCTGAGTACGCTCTTTTAATTGCGCTCTGTACACGTGCTCGAGGTGGCTGTCTCCAAAACGTGCCTCCAGTGCGTCGAGGAGGGCACTAAAGCTGAGATCCCCACTTGCGCCGATAGCTTCCAGCACTGAGAGCGCTTGATCACGGAGGGCCAGGGTGAGGGCTGACTGTGCTTCCTTCTGAGTCCAACCATAAGCCTTCATAAGTGTCTCGAACTGTAGCTTGAACGCGGTCCAGGATGTTGTTCCGTCGTAATGGGGAATCTTGAGCCCTTTCGTTGCGCTTGAGGCCGCATTTGGGGCGTCAAAAACGGCTGCAAGACGGCTTCGGCTCTTCAAAGGGCTTGGGCTTGTCATTTCCTGCTTGATTTTGGAGATCTCTTCTTCCACTCTCTCCTCTATGGCCATGACGCGATGTTCCAACTTGCCTAACCCTTCCTCCACTTCCTGTACCCGTTCGACAGCCTTTTGCAGTCCCTTCGTGAAATCCTTATGCATCTCTTTCAGCTCCCGTAGCTGCTCCGCCTGACAGTGTGCTTGCTCCCGTAGCTGTTCTGCCTGACAGCGTGCTTGCTCCTCTTGGCGGCGCGCTTGCTCTTCTTGGCGGCGCGCTTGCTCTTCTTGGCGGCGCGCTTGCTCTTCTTTCAGCTCCCGCAGCTGTTCTGCCTGACAGCGCGCTTGCTCTTCTTGGCGGCGAGCTTGCTCTTCTTGGCGGCGCGCTTGCTCTTCTTGGCGGCGCGCTTGCTCTTCTTGGCGGCGCGCTTGCTCTTCTTGGCGGCGCGCTTGCTCTGCCATCATTTGCTGCAGCTGTAGCAGAAGATCCACCTGCACAGGCTTGGCTTCTGCATCGCTGGTTTGAGCTGCAGCACCCTCTTCCCTCACACGCTGCGCTTCTGACATTGAACGGGTACTCACTCCTCTTACGTCCTGCGGCACTAGCGGCATTTTTCTCCAATCCCACTTCTGACACCAAATGTTACGTGCCTGACGTCACGTTCCTGACTATGCGGGCTTGGGTTACGGGATTGGATGAAATGAAACACTAATACCGGTTTTCAGACTTTCTATTGCACTTAAGTTACAGCGTCCACGGAGTTAAGTTATCGGCGTTCCTCTCCAGCAGAGTCCGGCCGACTGACACAACTTTGCCGTTCACGCTGACTTAACTCACTTAACTGACAGCACTTCACTATTTCACTGCACTTCACTATTTCACTCACTTTTCTTCTTTTTCACTTCTTCCTTTTCTTCCGAATCGCTTTAGACTTAGAACTCAACTGCCAGCGGTGAGCCGCAGTTCCGCTTATATACCCCCGGTCAGGTTCTGGAACATTCAATTTCGTTATTCTTTTTGATCGTCATGCCTCCAGAACCTTCCAATAATTTCGTTATTCATTTCTATTTATTCTCCTTCTCGCTCTTTAATTTTTCATTTCTTTCACACAAATAATTCCAGAAAGTTCGACAAAACTTCTATAAACTAAAAAACTTCATGTTTACGGCGGGACTCGAACTCGGGGTCTCTGTGGTGTAATCCACACGCCTTACCGATTACACCAACTCGTGTTGACAATTCACGACGAAATTTACAATCTCTAGGCAACGTTTGACAACCATCCATTGACGTCATGATGTCAAAGAGTTTGAACCACTTTTCCGTCACACTATATTAACTAATACAAGAAATGCTTATTTCAATTGGAATAAGAAACTTTTCAATGTCAAGCAGAGAATAAAGATATAAAGTGTCAGTCTGTCGGTCAGTCCTCTAGTGAAGCTATTTACTCGTTTCAAAGTGTAGATTCCGATGGAGAAGAACGATTCTCGAGCACAGGCGCAGAGTAGCGAGCCTTGCGGTTTTCTAAAGGATGCATTTTGGAGAGTGCGCGCAGGATTGCACGATTTGATTCCGCCATCCCAATTTCACCTTCGGACATTCGGGCGTACGGCGAAAATCCACCCTTACGTTGTTGAGACACCTGCGGCCCGGACTAAGCGTTTTGCCTCGTCATTTATACCGCGTACATCGAGGGATTGGAACAGTTTGCCGGCTGCAGTCTTCCGTCCAAATATAATTTAGATGTCTTCAAGGCTAGAGTGAATAGGCTCTTAATAAACTAGTGCGCCTTACCATCAAAGATTGCATCACTGCTTACCATCAGGTGGGATCGCAGTCAAGCACAAGATTATTGCAAGTAAAAAAAAAAAGAACGAGCAAGAAACTCCATGGTTACTCTTTAAATCATGACACCTTAATAAAGGACATATCATCAAATATCTTTTGTCCGAGATGTGGAGCGACATGACAGGGAGTGTCAGACTCTTACTGACTAAAAACCCTCCCGTTCCTTCTCCTGCTCTAGGCCGAGGCTGACTAGCTTGAAAAGTCGACTAGCTTGGACATACCGATCAAAGTACCGTCAATTATTAATTTATATGAAACATTTCGTTAAAATACTGAGAATTTTCAATAAATCGATTATAATTATTATGTTTTCGGCTTACATACGTAATAATTTGACGACATACTCGACTAGTTTCAAGCCATAAGCTAGAGGCCCATATTCATGAGCAGCATTCCGAGACACGCGACGCAACGAATATGGGCCTCTAGCATGGCTTGAATCGAGTATCTCGTCAAATTATTACGCGGGTAAGCCGATTTAGAATGTTTGAGCTTATTTAGAATGTCTCACGAAAGTTATAATAAAAAACCATTAAATAGTAGAGACATTTAGTATCAGCATGCGAAGTCGGGGCAGATCGCTGATAAAACAAACATGAAAAACAAAATGGGATATTATCATCCACTTACTTGGAGGCCGCAGCTGTTGAGGATGTTCGACAAGATTGGTGATCGCCAACTCGTTGAGATTGTCCACGATATCATCCCCCCCGACGTGGCACGCGTCAACTCTCTGCGAGTGAGTCCGACCGTCTGACGCTTCAGACGGGTCTGAACGCTTATTCTGACGTTCTTCAGGCGTCATCAGAATCACGCTGTCCCACCTGAGAAAAGAATCAATACATAAGTATAGGAGCCAAGCTCCGGCACGAATGGGTCGGCTCGACCGGAGACCACGGCCTCACAGAAACAAGGTCGTGAAATGACCACAGCGTTGTGTTTCGCCGTGTGAGTGAGGTTACCTGAGACCCAATATTTCCATCTCCCCTCCATCCTTTACCAATCCCTAAATCTCCAAATCCCTTATCCCTAAAAGGTCGGCAACGCACTCGTAACTTCTCCGTTGTCCATGTGCGGCGCTGATTGCTTACCATCAGGTAATCCGATAGATCGTTTGCCGACCTATTACATAAAAAAAATATAGTATGACAGCCTTTTTTGGGAGGGGGGAAAATCATCAAATGACTTCTCCCATCCAGGGTGAGGCTAAAGGTAGTGTCAGACTCTTACTGACTCATAAACGCCCTGTTCCTTCTCCTGCTCTGTGCCGAGGTCGCGGTACCTCATTGCGCTTACCCCGCAACCCCGGCTGAACATCAGCCCTGTAGGGCCCCGTCTGTGGTGGTCTATTGGCTCTTTAAGACACCCTAGTGAAATGCTAATATAGCACAGCTGGTACTCTTCCAGACGCCATTTAAGGCCAGGTGTCAGAGAGCTTTGCTCTTTTTTCAGTCGGGTATACCACATCCAGAGAAAAAACGGTGGTAGAAGTTTATTATTTATGTTTATTAACCTGATGGTAAGCAATCAGGGCCGCCCATGGACATCCGCAACAACGGAGAAGTTACGAGTCCGTTACCGGTCTTTTTGGGGATAAGTTTTTCGGATCAAATCAAACCAAATCTTTTAAGTAGACCAGTAGACCAGTTTTTTTTTTTTTTTTGTGAGGGGAAAATCATCAAATGACTTCTCCCGCCCAGGGCCGGGCAGGAGGGAGTGTCAGACTCTTACTGACTAAAAACCCCTCCGTTCCTTCTCCTGCTCTGTGCCGAGGTCGCGGTACCTCATTGCGCTTACCCCGCAACCCCGGCACCAGTAGACCAGTAGAAGGCGTTTTTGAACGTCAAATATTTAGGGATTGGGGGCAGGGGGAGAATCTGGCCTCAGGTAAGTCCACTCACACGGCGAAACACAACGCTGTGGCTGTGTGAATAGTCTTACCATTCTATGTCTGGCACTCTGTCGGAGTCTAGCGTGTCAGACGCCAGTAGCGCCAGTTTTGTAGCTGAAGAGATGCCAGTCTTTCGCGCTATCTGCGATATCTCGTTCTGTAGCTTTTCCAGTTGCGCCTGAAAATATAGAAATGAGAAAATATAGAAACCTTGAGGCGGCAAAACGAACTGACGGATTACCTGATGGTAATCAACAACACAGGAATTACGAGTGCGTTGCCGACCTTATGGGGTATAGGGATTTGAAGATTTAGGGATTGGGCCCCCGGTAACCTCACTCACACGGCGGAACACAACGCTGTGGTTGTTTCACGCCGGTTTTCTTTAGTGACGGGAATTAGCGATCCCGCGGGCTACCATCATCCCGAGTGCTCCAGGGAGGAGTCACCGTTCCTTATCTCCAGCTTGCCTTCATTGGCTGGCCGGAGTGAACGATGACGAGGAACAGGTCTCCCACCTCTTTTTTTTTGGGAGGGGAAAATCATCAAATGACTTCTCCCTCTTACTGACTAAAAACCCCCCCGTTCCTTCTCCTGCTCTAGGCCGAGGTCGCGATGCCTCAGTGCCCTTACCCCGCAACCCCGGCTGAACATGAGCCCTATAGGGCCCCGTCTGTGGTGGTCTATTGGCTCTTTGAATCCGACCAGCGGTTCCAAACATTACCCCCTACAAACAAACTTACAAATTTTACCTCTTTATAATCTAAAATATAAAATTCTCGTGTCAAAGTTTTCGTTGCCATACTCCTCCGAAACGGCTTGACCGATTTTGATGTTTTTTTTTTGAGCTTATCCGGTATCTATGAGAATCAGCCAACATCTATTTTTCATCCCCCCTAAATGTTAGGGTACGCCATCCCTAATTTTTTTTAAACAAATTTTTAAGTTCTATTTTTTTATGATACAGCATACAAAAATACATAGAATCCTCAATTTCGACCCTTCGAAGATCAACCCTTATTTTTATGGCAAAACAACGTTTGCCGGGTCAGCTAGTATCTATACTAATATTATAAAGAGGTAAAATTTGTAAGTTTGTAGGTTTGTATGTAGGGGGTAATATTTGGAACCGCTGGTCGGATTGCTAAAATTCTTTCACTGATAGATAGCTACAATGTTCCTGAGTGCTATAGGCTATAAAACATCACGCTACGATTAAATGGAGCCGAGCAGCTAGTAACTATATATATATATATATATGAGTAGAAGTTGAGGAGCCGTACCTTCATCCGGAGTCGGTCCCCCATCTGCGTGAACTTGCCGGGCTCGTGGAAGCGCAGCGGCCTGCGCGTGCGCACGGGGGCGCGCGCCTGCACGCGCTCGTCGTGCCAGCGCGCCCCCGCGCCCGCGCCCTCCACCGACGCCGCGCCCGACAACTGCGCGCGGAACTCCTCGCGACGCTTCGCGCGGATATTTGCCTACACACAACATTTATACTCGATGTCTTCATTGTCTTTAAACAGGCTTAAATCGAATAAATACGACAAAATGACACGGGAGCTTCAGGTACAAATCAAATCAAATCAAATCAAATCAAGTCAAATCAAATCAAATCAAATCAAGTCAAATCAAATCAAATCAAATCAAATTCTTTATTTAAAGTAGACCACAAAAGGCACTTTTGAACGTCAAGCAAAAAAGATATCATAAGGTTTAACTTTATATGTGTCAGTCTGTCCGTCTATCTATAGTGTGTAGTTACAGTAACATAGTAATTAATATTAGGTTCAAATTTTATAATAGGTCCCATCATTTGTTCTTTTTTTTCACAACTTGTCTCTGCATTGTTCTCACATAAGCATATACTAAATGTTATATTAGTGAAATTATAAAAGATATATTTTTTTTAAAGAGTAACTATAGAGTTTCTTGCTCGTTTCTCCAGTCGAATCTACAATTTGGAATGAGCACCTAGCTTCACTGAAGAACAGACTGACAGACTACTATTCTATTTTGACGTTTCAAAAGTACCTATTTATGGGTTTAAATAAAGTCAAAGTCAAAATCAATTATTCCAACTAGGAATAAATGATTTTGACTTTGACTTTATTAACTGTTTTTTCTTCAATCTAAGACCTCATTTAATACGGTAGTTTCCAACTAGTCAAATTCAATACTTTTATCCAAACGTCAAAAACAATACTTTTCTATGAAATTTGTATGAAATACTGAGTTATGACGTCATAGTATTTTTTGCGTCAAATAACTTACTTAGTAATTAGCTAAAAAATATCTAAAATTCAGAGAATCGATCGATCGATGAATAAAAGTATAAGTACTTATTTTTCAATATTTTATTGTATTGAATCGTCGAATTAATTTATTTTTCACCTAGCAAACTACCCAATTGTCGCGTCTATTCAATTTCACCCTGTATATAAAAGAAAGTCGTGTTAGTTACACCACTTATAACTCAAGAACGGCTGAACCGATTTAGCTGAATATTGGCAGGGAGGTAGTTTAGAGCATAGGATAGGATAGAGTAGGTAGTGTAGGTTAGGTAGAGTAGGTAGTGTAGGTAAGGTAGAGTAGGGTAGGTAGAGTAGGGTAGGTAGAGTAGGGTAGGTAGAGCAGGTTAGGTAGAGTACGGTAGGTAGAGTAGGGTAGGTAGGGCAGGTTAGGTAGAGTGGGGTAGGTAGAGTGGGGTAGGCAGAATAGGGTAGGGTAGGTAGAGTAGGGAAGGTAGGGTAGGTAGAGTAGGGAAGGTAGGGTAGGTAGAGAAGGGTAGGTAGAGTGGGGTAAGCAGAGTAGGGTAGGTAGAGCGGGTTAGGCAGATTAGGGTAGGGTAGGTAGAGTAGGGTAGGGAAGGATAGTATTGATTATCCTTTAGTTTGGAACAATTCCAGCGACGGATATAAAAATTTTAGAAATTTTCAAAAGTAAAATGCAAAAACAACGTGTCTCAATTAGACTCCGCCCCTATCCGATATTATCAGAAACTTACATTCCAAATTCGGTTACGGTTCCGGATATTTTTCATATGAGGAACTTTACACTGTTCTCTCACTCCTCCAAAATCGTTTTTTGACTTTGACTTTGAAACAATGATTGTTTCATTGTTTCAAAGTTGAATTTATTTTTGCAAATAGGCCATAAAACGGCACTTTTACACGTCAATTTATATGTGAAAAACTAGATGAAGCCGGCATTTCCTATCTGACTACTCTGAGAAGAAATGTCGAAACAAACTCAGAGGTCAGTCTCTTTTCAAGTCCAGACAATGTAAAAATAACATAATGTGAGAGAACCGTGCAAGTTCATTCTGTAGTGGTCTTTTGAGGAAAGAACCACACCAGTTTAAGCGGACCCGTTCTGAAGACAGGCACGCAAGTGTCAGTTTGCAACCAGTATAGCTAGTGCTGCTGAGTTGTCCGACGAACAATACCAATCTAAAGAACATTTGGTTGGGTCGCGCAAGTACTCAAACTGTTTGACTTGGATTATACCGACCTTGAGCGTTGGAGCTACGTGTGTAAGCTGAACTCGTTTCCCGCTGGTGTCCACCGTCCGCCCCTCTCTATCCAGAATAAGGGGGGCAGGACCACTGCCCGCCGTACTAGTCAGGGCACCGCCTGGAAACCGTACCAGTGATCAACTAATCTTTTTTTTTTTAATGTTGCGCCTTACTAGTTATCTCCTGTGTCGTGGGTGCGTTTACAAACATACAATTTCACATGCACATCACACCCAGACCCGGAACAACAATTTGCGGATCACACAAAGAGTTGCTCACAGAAAACCGACGTGAAACAACCACAGCGTTGTTTCACCGTGTGAGTGAGGTTACCGGAGTCCCAATCCTTCCCCGCCCCCAATCCCTAAATCTCCAAATCCCTAATCCCTAAAAGGTCGGCAACGCATTTGTAACTCCTCCATGGGCGGCGCTGATTGCTAACCGTCAGGTAATTGGTCTGCTCGTTTGCCGACCAGTTACATAAAAAAAATCCCAATCCCTCTCTATCCTCAAAATCTCCAAAACCCAAATCCACAAAGGTCGGCAACGCACTCGGTTTTGCGTTTCCATGGGCGGCACTGATTGTTTACCATCAGGTAATCCATCTGCTCATTAACCGACCTATCACCCAAAAAAAAAAGTCACCTACACCAATGAAATATCAAAGGAATATAATCTTAAACACATTGACATACCGGCTAGTTTCCTCTGTATCCTTGCTTGGAGTTCAGCTATTTTCCTTTGCTTCTCCAGCTCCTCATGACTAAGACCACCTCCAACTGAAACAAACATTTTTTTAATGAATAGCGGCCCGCCTCTGCTTCGCACGGGTCCAACTATCTCGCTATCAAAGGATCACTTTTTCTTTATCTTCCCCTCTACTTTTCTAATATTTTCTTTGATAAGAACCTTGTCCTGACAATAATAAACACAACAAAAACAGAATTAGCAAAATTAGTCCAGCCGTTGTTGAGTTATGCGCTTACCAACACATTTTGCGATCCATTTTTATATATAAAGATAATGAACTAGCTTCCGCCCACGGCTTCAACCGCGTTGTATGTTGATAAAAAGTAACCTACGTCCTATTCCGAAGTGTATTCTATGCCTGTGCCAAATTTCATCCAGATCCGTCCAGCAGTTTTGGCGTGATTGAGTAACAAACATCCAAACATCGTAACTCTCGCATTTATAATATTAGCAAGTATTAATATAAGATTCTTTTTGACCGAAGTAGCCCTGAGATTAAGACGCTAACTCCTCATGCATGAGGATACGGATCCTGGGAACCTGGCAAGTACCAATGTGACTTTTTCCGAGGTACATGTACTTTCTATGATTATTTAGACACCACTGACATACGGTGAAGGTAAACATCGTGAGGTAACCTGGACTTATAATTTCTAATTATAAGTTTGAAATCGTCAACCCGTATTGAGCAAGCGTGGTGATTAATGCTCTAACCTTCTCCGTGTGAGAGAGGCCTTTGCTCAGCAGCACTTATAGGCTGACGATTTTCCTATCTCAGAGAATACTTAAGTGTGGGAGAGCCATGCTTCGGCGCGAATGGGTCAGCTCGACCGGAGTGATACCACGGCCTCACAGAAAACCGGCATGTAGTAACACTTTCGAGACCTCCGCCCAATCCTTCTCCCCCTACCATCAATCCTCAAATTCCCTATCCTTAAATCTCTAATAACCCCCTTTGATACTACGAGTATCCATGGACGGCGCAGATTGCTTACCATCAGGTAATCCGTCTGCTCGTTGCCTCATTGCAAAATACATACCAGGCTTAGAATATAACACAGGTTTGATGACGCTAGGTGGCGCTAGTGAACTGTTCTGCTGGACTTGAACCTTCAGCTGCTGGGCGGTCGCGGCCGCAGCACTCACTCCACTCTTGGAGTCTCCCTTCATGGCTAGGAGCGCTCTCTTTCGCTCTTCAATTTCCTTTTGAGCGTTTGCCATCATTAACTGGAAGGAGAAAGGAAAACAAGAGTTTTTATTCTGATCTTGATCATACCAATTCAAAGTCCAAATCATTTATTCCAACTAAACCATAAATAGGTGATGCTGAAACGTCAAAATAGAATAGTAGTCTGTCAGTCTATTCGTCAGTGAAGCTAGGTGCTCCTATATCCTCTATTCTGGAGAAGAACGAGTAAGAAACGCCATTGTTACTCTTTTTTTTTAATAATATTTCTTTTACAAGGAGTCGGGAAATTGCCTATTGCCGTGCTGCGCCAAAAGCGCGGTAAATTTTTGAGCTTGTGCACCCGCAACCAACCAATTCATACATTTGTATCTTGTTGTACTGTAATTAACCGACTTCCAAAAAGAAGGGAGGTTCTCAATTCGACCGAATATATATTTTTAAATGCTTAAACTTTCATTATTTAAATATGTAGATATTTTTTCTTCATTTAAATCTACATTTTGGAATGAGCATCTAGATTCACTGACGCGAAAAGTGCCTGCCTATATTTTTTATTTGAAAAACAGTCTGTGAAAGTATTAGTATTAACAAATTATAACTCCGCAAAAATGAGTCGCTTCCATCGGAGCAATACTACGGGCTCGCAGAAAGAATCACAGCATTGTGTTTCGAAATGCGAGTGAGGTTACCGGAGGCCCAATCCTAATCCCAAAAAGGACGGTAATATACTCTTAACTCCACTGTATGGTATTACAGGTGTCCATAAGCGGCGCCGATTGCTTACCATCAAGTCATTCGTGAAAAAAATATCGAAACAATATTCTAAAACAGAAAAACTTCCCACCTTAATCCTATCAGCACTTAAGACAGCCATCTTCGACCCAACAGTTTCTCCGTCTGGCATAACCGCTAAAGCCTCAACTCCATTCTTCTTCTCTTCTTTCTTATCGTCCTTCTCCTCCTTCTCATCATGTCTAGACCTTTTGACATCCTTATCCCTGTCAGAAGACTCATGTTTACGTTTCTGGGATTTGGAACTTGAGACCAGTTCTTGTGCAAGAGCGATGACTTTGTCAGCTAGTTTGCTTGCTTTCTTTGAGTCTATATGCGCTGATATCTTGTCTATGATTTTCCGCCTTTCGTATCTGAAATTTTATGGGTAAGCATTAGTCTAAAATAAGATTATAGAGAGATATGCAAGTTTTTATGTAGGGGTATCTTTGGAACCGCTGGTCGGATTTCCAGAATAGGCTATAGATTATACTTGATTTAGATAACTTTGGATGAGCTATCACTTTAAAAGTTTTTTCAATTCCGAGATACATTACTTTTATATAGGTGAGAGGCTATTTATGCATGTCACTACTATTACTACTGGCGCACATGTCAACTTAAAAAAAGCTCTGGGAACTAGTTTCCATAAGACCACAGCTACGCATTCTTATGAATGAGTCCTGATACGACTTGAAACTAGTAGAGCCTTTTATACAGGGTGTAAGGGACAGCCCTCCACAAATTAACAGGGTGCATTCAGCTCCTTATTCTGAATCATATTCCAGTGAAAATTCTTTCAGGAAAATTTTCAATTTTTTTTTTCGTTTTTTCAGTTCCTACACCTCTATTTCAATGTATAATTACATTCTATGTATGAAGAATAACATTAATGTAAATAACACAGCTAAAACAAAAAAATACGCAATGGTTGTGTGAATTCTGTAAAGAACTACGCATGAAATCAGCTGTTCAATTTCTACCTAGCGCGAGTCGTTTGAACTCACCGCACCGCGGTCACGGCGCAGCGGCTCGGCGCCCCACCGCGCCGATCGCCGCGCCGCGCGCCGTAGGTATAATACCTACGATCCCGTCCAACGTACAGAATAGCTGCGTCCCTTTCTATCGCCCCGCCTCCGCGTCTCCCCGTCTCCCCGATTCTTTGCACAATGTTTGCCCGATTGAACCAGTGTTGCCAATTTTTAACTTTTGTTACCTCAGGTAGTAAACGAAAATGTTAGAACTAGCGAAATTTATCTAAAACTTGAGAACTCCTTTGCATTCATAATTACGTTGATGAGATTTTCATTAATCAATTAATGAAAATCTTGTCGCGCACATAAATTGAATAAGAAATAAATAAAGATTAGTCTAGTTTTAATTTTAAAGCATTTACAAATACTACCTAATTTATTAATTGATTGTTCTTTTTAAGCGATTACTGGCTAGTTTTTAAACTACTTACAGATTTTTACATGGCTTCACAATAGCCATGAATTGATAGTCGAGCCAGAAATTAAACACAATCTCCCTGGAATGGAAGCACAGCTTTCTATCACACTGCACTTTTATTATTCTAAATTAACTAAACAATGAAATTAGAATTAAATTGATTTAATCAATTCATTTCTCTACAAAAAATAACAGAAAGATAAATTACGACCATGCATAATTTTTTATTTTTTACCCCGAAATTTTGTAATTTTCGTGTAATTGGCAACAACAGATTTATGTTTGTGTGTGTCTCATCACATGCAGTCGCCATTGTGCCTTGCTGCGATGTTATTGTTTGTGTACCGCGAGCGTGTGTCGGCACGGATCGCTCGCGCATTCGGCTTAAAAGTTTTGTTATAAGTAGTGTTGATAAGTTTTATTAGTTATGTAGTGTGTGAAGTGTAGTGAAGTTTTGTTGTAGAAATTGTGCGAAATTACTACCTAGGTACGTTTAGCGCGCGTGATTATGGGGAGATGATAATGTGTTGTAGTAGTGTAGGTATCCTGACCGTCGCCATCCATCAGACTCCAGGATAATTACTGGTGACTATCAACGCTTGCTAGAAAACCAGCCCATTGTTCCCAGACAAAAAGGCGCCGGAAGACCAATACCTACGTGGATTTTGGAATTGGTTCGCTAAAGTAAGGAGACGCTACCACTTACCAGTGCTTTCCTATTTAAACGTAGTTTAGGTAGGTTTGGACCGCAACCGTGGCCAGCACGATCCCCAGACCTAACCCATTTGGACCCCTTTTTGTGGGGTTACGTAAAAGAAAAAGTGTTTGTGAGTGCGTGTGCAAGTAACTACGAAATGCGAGACCGCATCACAAATGCTTTCCAGAGCCGGAAACCGGAGCGATTCTAAGGTACCTACGCATTTTTCTTTTTTTATCATTTATCAGTTACCATGTTATGATTGTTAGATTTTTTTTTGTAAGTAATGCAGCTATCTTTTAAATAATAATTTATTCTTATTAAAACGTGGCGCGAGCGCGATTATTACATTGTCTTTTGTAAGTAATGCGGCTATCTTGTAAATAATAATTTATTGTTATTAAAACGTGGCGCGAGCGCGACCGTTTGTCTGAACGTAAGGTCGCGGCGCTGCACATAGTGTAAAGTAATAATACTAAAAGCGCTGCCGTTCGCTGCGTGCGTTTGCGGTGGTAGCGATACATTGCGTGTAAGGTAATGAAACAAATCGGTTTAATTGGATTCCCATAACGTTCCTGAAATAATTTCATGTACCGGTCAACTTAAGACGATATACTGAATCCACCCTATCAGTTTGCGGAAGGCTGTCCCTTACACCCTGTATAGAAACTAGTTTGTGTTCAATTTAATAATAAGTACAGAGTTCTATATTTATACATTCTAGATTCCAATATATCTGGTATATAGCAGCCATTTAGAATCTTGTGAAAGCTTAACTTGATAACAAACAATCTATAAAAAAACATGGAAATATATGTATTTTCACATACAATAAATTGCTTTGTTGCCTTTGAGTTACTAATTATAAGTTGTAAGTTACTAAATAGGTCACTTGTAACCAGTAATTAAAGACTAGCAATGCTCTTTTGTATCAAAATATCTCAATAACATATTTTAAAGGACATACTACAATATAGTTACGAAATCGTGAAGTTTTTTTATTCCCAGGGCTCCATACACAATATTTGTACTAGAAAGAACTCTTACAAGTAAGAAAAACAACACATAATGTTTGTAAACCGATCTTAAACCTGTATTTTATTCGTTTCAACTTACCCGCTAGATAGACAAGAAGAAACAGTCGATAGTAAAGAACTATCCGATTTCCCGATAGTTCTGTATATTGCACGGTCCAAGGACGACCTTAGATCGTCCACCTCCCGTCTAGATAACTGCAGAGCCATGGTTCAGAAGAATTTTACACAAAATTATTACGCACTTATAGGTTATGTTACTAAAGTCAAACAAATCAATATTTACTACACGCAAACTTGAATATAAAAACAATAATTAATATTGTGATAAATTATCGACATGTATTTTTACATTTTAGTCGAAGTTTATTGGAATTTCAGTAAATTATTTGCAGGTTCGCACTGACGTAAACAACGACCATTGACCCAGTGTTACAAGTGCTATTTCAAAAATTACACATTTTTATTAAAATCCTTTTTAATTAAAAAAAGGATTTTGTCGTTTACGATGGTAGAAGACATAATGAACTCATTTATGTTTGACGTCAGGTATTATTTGTTATATGGAATTAATTTATAAAGATTTCCAAAGAAGCAAAGAATGAAAAGGACTACCACTAAAGCAATTGCAATTTTACCTTTGGTATGCTTATAGTATTATCTATGGAAACCACTCCTTTACACGCAATATCAAAATTATAATAAATAACTATTAATATGTTTAATCAGCTATAATAATATAATAAGAAAAGAAAGCCTTTTAGTTTCATTGTAATAAAAGATATTATGAAATTTATATTTCAAACAATCAAGCTCGTCTCAGAATTCGGCACACTGCACAGACACAAGCTTTTACAATATAACAGTTACGTAAAGAGAAACATGGTTTCTGTTTATTGTTGAAGTTTAGTGTCAAACGTGTATATCAATACCGCCGTTAGCGATATTCATAATTTATTGATATTTTCTTAAAATACGCAAAAATTATACTACTTACTTCTAAGTTGACTTCATTTAAAAACATATCAAAGTGCCAAGAAGTTTTATTACGGTCAGAAAATAAACATAACCTCAAAATGTCTGACGACGATGATGTTGTGTTGGTGAAGAAACCAAAACAGGTTCATTATGGGTCCCTGGAGGAACAGGAGAAGGCCAGGCTGGCTGCCCTGGCTGCTGCAGCCAAGGAAGGTGCTGAAGACAATGGCGGAAAGGATTTGGGAGATATACAAGTTTCAAGTGGTGAGATTTTATCTGTCTTGTTGGTTTTCAGTTAATAACTTTGTGATTTAAAAGTATGTAATTGAGATTAGGTTCAATTCTTAGCTGGCACATCTCATTAGAATGGCTTAATTCCACTCAAGCTGTGTGTATGTTTCCATACCAATTCCAATTGGAAAAATCAAGTGCTTTGCAAATAAGCTGTTCAATGTTGATTAACTGCACGGTTGGTGCTGTGCCTGGACTTCTGGTTCGATTCCCGCTAACTACTAATCACTGTTCGAAATCTAGATGTGATGTGTTTATGAAATGGTGGTAGTTTAATATTATTAAAAAACTCAATTAAATATAAAGAAAGACAAGATATTACTTCACTTTCCATTGAGCATACAATTGAATTGTCCTGTGTGGAGCTGGATAGGCATGTTGTAATATGCGTTTATAGACCTCCTAACTTACAGAACTTAAACATTTTTAACTCAGTCATGGAACAAGTTTTGCAGAAAGCGTGTTCAAACAGTAAATTCACAATAGTATGTGGCGATTTTAATATTGATCTCTTAGAAAACAATTCTAATTGTGTTAATTTGGTAAGTCTTTTTAAATCTTTTGATTTGTCTAATGTTTTCCTTGAGCCCACCCGAGTAACATCCACCTCGGCTACATGCATAGATAATATATTTTGTAACTGTAATTATTTACATAAGGATATAATAAATACCTTACCATCAGACCACAGTGGGTTAACAATGAACCTTAACAACATCACAAAGGTGCCAAAAAAGGAAATAATGTTTAGGCAAATCACAAATAAAAGGGTTGAGTTATTAAATAACAATTTGAAACATAAATTATGCAGCCCATCACATGATTATGAAGGTCCAAGTGAGATTTATGACAATCTACTGTCCGTGATTAAAACCCAGTTTGATAAAATATTCCCCTTAAAAAGAAAAACTATTGAGTGTAAATTTGTATTCTGTGACTGGGCTACCCCAGGTATTCGTAGAAGTAGGGAAAGGTTATTTGAGCTATATGGTATGAAACCATTTGATACTAGTGAAGCCTTCAGCAAGCATGTGTCCAAATATGCAAAAATATTTAAAACAGTCTGTAAGCAAGCTAAATCACTTTATATTGGCAATAAGATTAAAAATGCTGAAAATAAAACAAAAGCTACGTGGAAGGTAATTAATAACGAGACAGGCAGAAATAAATTGCATAACACGGAATTTAATTTAAATACGGATAATGGACGAGTTAATGCTAATCAAGAAGTTGCCCAAGAATTCGAATTTTTTTTCAAGAATATCCCCATTAAAACTACGAAAGACTTAGAATCATCGCCGGCACTTTCTATTAGTCTTCTTAAAAGAAATGTTAAAGAATGCCGTTCTGGCTTCCGATTTCAGTACACGGACCCGCAATCAGTAATAAAGGCGTTTAAAGACATAAAAGTTAAGTCTACAGAGGATCTATGGGGAATGTCTGTTGTGGTGTGTAGGTCTTTTATAGAAGCTATAGCGCCTTACTTAGCTGTAATTTTTAATAAAAGTGTAGATCAGGGTGTTTTTCCAAATTTGATGAAACTTAGCAAGGTAGTCCCGTTGTTTAAATCTGGCGATGACAATGATCCCAATAATTATAGGCCGGTATCAATTTTACCAGTGCTTAGTAAAGTGTTTGAAAAGCTAATGCTTTCTCAGATGCTACGACACTTTAACATAAATTCCATCTTTCATGACCAACAATATGGGTTTACCAAGGGTCGATGCACAACTGACGCCGGTGTAGCTCTACTTAAGCATGTTTTTGCCTCATGGGAAAAGTCAAACGACGCTATTGGGATTTTTTGTGACCTGTCTAAAGCTTTTGATTGCGTTGAACACACGACACTGTTGCTGAAGTTGGAACACTATGGCATTCGAGGGGTATCTCTCAATTTATTAAAATCATACCTGCAGGATAGGCAGTTCAAAGTACAAGTAAATAAAGTGAACTCCCAGGGTACTAGCATATCTATGGGCGTACCACAGGGCTCAATATTAGGTCCTTTCCTGTTTTTAGTGTACATAAATGATTTACCTCATTTATTTCAACGTGAACCGGGAATGGTATTATTTGCTGATGACACATCGTTGATTTTTAAAATAAATAGACGGACAGATAATTATGACGACGTAAATAATGCTATAACGAAGGTTCATAATTGGTTTACAATTAATAATTTAGTCCTAAACGACAAAAAGACTAAATGTATACGATTCAGTTTGCCAAATGTTAAAAGTAACGAATGTGACATATTATTAAACGGTAATAAATTGGAATTTGTAAAACAAACTACTTTTCTGGGTATAACCATAGATGACAAACTACAATGGGGGCCCCATATCACATCTCTGGCAGGACGGTTGAGCTCTGCAGCATTTGCTGTCTGGAAGATCCGACAGCTAACAGATGTGGACATTGCAAGACTGGTGTACTTCAGCTACTTTCATAGCATTATGTCGTATGGCATCTTGTTGTGGGGACAGGCTGCTGACATTGAGTCTATCTTTGTCTTGCAAAAGCGTGCCATCAGAGCTATTTACAATCTAAAGCGTCGTGAGTCTCTTAGAGAAAAGTTTAGAGAGATCAATATTATGACCGTGCCATGTCAGTTTATTTATGAAAACATTATGTATGTTAGGAAAAACTTAAAAATATTCGATAAGGTGTCAGATAGACATAATTATCAAACTAGACATAGAGATAGATTATGTCAGCCATTATTTAGATTGGCAAAGGTACATAAGTCGTTCATGGGATTCTGTGTTAAATGTTATAACAAAATCCCAGGCGAAATACAACAATTAAATGAAAGAAATTTTAAATTATGTGTAAAGAAAACTTTATGTAGAAAAGCATACTACACACTGAATGATTACATTGTAGATAAAGATGCTTGGAGACATGCTGGTCCTGCTCCACAGGATAGCAAACGTACACCAAAATAAATAACGTTCCAATGGATTTTGCTTGAACGGGACTTCTTCATTTTAGTGAAATTGCATTATATTGTATAACTATAACTTGATAAATTTGTAAATGTGAGTGCCCTGTAACCTATTATAATTGGTTAGACTAGCAGAATGTCGGTCCTTATAACAGCTTGGAGTTGTCATGCTCACTGAAAGGTCACACTGGCGGTGGCATGGGCACTGGATCGCTTAATTCCCTATAATATGGTTGAGTTGGGCGATGCTGGTGTACGTGTCATGCTCGTGAACGAGCGCCGTCAGTTGGGACTGGTCAGCTCCAGACTGTCTATTGTCCTTAAGGTTACTTAATTTTTATATTTGAATAAATATTAGTGTTACACTGTTCTCACATAATTGAACCAACTGTTTGTAAAAGGAATCTGTATGTGAAACTGATTTAAAAAGAGTAACCATGGAGTTTCTTGCTCGTTCTTCTCCATCGGAATCTACACTTTGGAACGAGCAAATAGCTTCACTAAGAGGACTGACCGACAGACTGACACTATTTTTTATTTTAAATTTTGTTTGACGTTCAAAAGTGCCTGTAAAGGTCTAATTGGAATAAATGATTTTTGACTTTGACTTGACTTGACTTAAATTGTATGTTAATCAAAAGCCTTCTCCGAAACTGAAAGATGTTATTGAAAAAAAAAATTGGTATTATTTCATTATATCCTCAGAATATATGGAGCTCGAAGAGGAGATGTCTCGGGACAAGAAAGCTCTGCTTGAAGAGTTTGAGAGGAGACGCAAAGCTCGGCAGCTCAATGTTTCCACTGACGATGATGAGGTAAGCAGAGTCCAGGATTGTTCATACATCAGAAGCTGACACAAAGTCGTCTAACCACCTGAACCTCTTAGATGTACGTGAATAATGAAGCTATAAATTTGTTTTTGTAAATAAGCCACAAAAAGCTCTTTTACACATCAATATTATATAATAACTTTTGTGTTTCATAGTAACATAATATAATTATGTGGGTATTAATCTGAAAAGTTATTGTTTAAATACCTTGGAAGGCTTGATTTTTCGACCTGGTTTACCATGACCTGTGTACTACACTACACAATAATTACTTTTCGTGTTAATACCCCCATAATTATATAATGTCAATGCTATAAATATATTTAAAAAAAACTCAGAGTAGGTGGTTCGGTACTGTCTCCCTTACGCCACAGCTGCTGCAGGAGACATTCCTACCGTCGGGGATCGCGCGACAATTTCTGTTTGCCTCTGGTCGGTAGAATCCGAGCGTAAGAGGGCCACATAGCGTTCCACACGCGTCTCATAGAGCCATTAGACCACCACAGACGTGGCCCTAGGGAAGCACTATAATATACCGCGGCCCCGGAGCTGAACAAGGGATCGAGTGGATTTTAGTCAGTCAACAGTCTGACACTCCTTCTCGCCCAAACCATGGCGGGAGGAATCATTAGATTATTTACCCCCTCAAACAAAAATAATATAAAAACAAAATGTCTCTTGTTGAAAATGAAATGTGTTCTTTTTTTGTCAGGGGAAAATTCATCTAATGACTTCTCCCGCCCAGGGTGAGGCGAGAGAGAGTGTCAGACTTACTGACTAAAAACCCCCCCGTTCCTTCTCCTGCTCTGGGCCGAGATCGCGGTGACTCATTGCGCTTACCCCGCAACCCCGGCTATGTTCTTGTGGCTTGATGAGGCTGAATTTTATTACATTATTGGTTCCATGGCTCTATTACACTTCCAGGTGCGCCGCAGTCTTCGTCAGCTCGGCGAGCCGGTGTGTCTGTTCGGAGAGGGACCAGCAGAGAGACGCGTGCGACTCCGAGATCTACTGAGCTAGTGAGTCAATGAATCTTATTTACCCTTCCGTGTAGGATAGCCATGCTTCGGCACAATGGGTCGGCTCGACCGGAGTGATACCACGGCCTCACAGAATACCAACGTGAGGCAACCACAGCGTTGTGTATCGCTGTGTGAGTGAAGTTACTGGAAGCCCAATTCTCAAATCTCCTATCCTAAAATCTCTAACAACTAACAAGAGGCCGGCAATACACTTGTAATAGATTCTTTGGTACTCCAAGTGTCCACGGGCGGCGCTGATTGCTTACCATCAGGTAATCCGTCAGCTCGTTTGCCGACCTATATCATAAACAAAACACATACACATAATAAAATAATGTTTTTGTGTTATGACAAACACAGCAGCATACAGATCGCCTGATGGTAAGCGATCAGCGCCGCCCATGGATACCCGCAACAGCAAAGGAGTTGCGAGCGCGTTCCCGGTCTTTTCAGAGTAGTTAGGGATCTACGGATTGACTGAATTGTTGATTGGAGGAGAGGAGGGATAGAATTGGGCCTCCGGTTACCTCATTCCCTTCACTCTAGCTTAGTTTAAGTCTTCCACTGGTATTCTATCAGGTCCTGATGTCATTCAAGTCTCCTTATTGCTTACTAGCTTCCGCACGCGGCTTCGCTCGCTTTGTATGTTGATAAAAAGCAGCCATGTGTTAGTCCAAAGTATCACCTATCTACATACCAGATTTCAACCAAATCGGTCCAGCCGTTTTTGCGTGGAAGATTAACAAACATACAGGGTGTAAAAAGACACTTAACGAAGCCGTTAACTACGCATTCTACAGTTCTAACTAAGTAGCTTTACGCTAAAGTTATCACTGGGAAACGACTTTTATTTTTAGGTATCAAAAAATAATGCGCGCAATGTAAAGCAGACGGGCTTCGTGTCATTGTGTGCGTAGGTTCACAGCCAGTGCCGGATTAGCCACGTAGCAAGAGTAGCAAATGCTACGGGCCCCGCGGATTGGAGGGCCCCGCGCTCAAATAGGTATTTCGTAATTACACCACTTCCACAGCAAGACCTATGAAGAAAATGTTTTGTTTACAAAACTACTACCAAACTGCAAGTAGTTTGAATTTTTTCTTAACGAAATAAACGAAAAAAGACAAAAAGTCGGTATTTTGTATGTGTAAGAAAAGGAAAGCGAGTATCTGTCCGCTCGGTTGGTGCCATTGGCGGGCGAACCGAGGCGACGCGAACTGCGCGCTCGGCTATTTCCGCCTCAGCTCTAGGTATAATATGTATCTATCACGAAAAATGTTGGTATCAAAATGAACAACAATAATTTGAAATTGTACCACATCTTTTAAATTGAGCGCTAGCCACACACAAGTTATGTGTTGTACTACTTGCACTGCACTAAACACAAGTTGGCAACACTGCAAAACAATTTGGGGAATTCCCTGATATTGTCATCGATCGAGCTAGCCGTAACTCGAACAAATAAATTAGGATTCTATTGACTATCAAACAATAAGAAATTGATATACACTTTCCTTTGACTCAATATAAAAAACTACTAAGCATTAAATGTGAACTATTTGTGAGAAAAGTTGTCTTGACATTGCTTCAAGTAGGTACTGTTTTTGTGATTGACGTAGCGCTGTGTGCAATTCATTCATTTATCTTTTTACCGACTACAAAAAAGGAGGGGGTACTATGTTCCACTGCTTGTTTTTTTTGTATATTCACCGATTACTCCGCCATTTATAAACCAATTTCCAAAATTCTTGTTTTGTTTGAAAGGTTGTTATACTCCCGAGAGGGTCCCATTTTCACGAGGTCGGGATCTGATGATATAATCCTAGGGAAACCGAGGGGAACTTTCGAAAATTGTAGGGGCGAGTAGTGCTACAACTTGCCGATAGTCGAACTTGACCTGATGATGGAGCCGGAAGACAGTTGAAGGATCTCCTTGATTATTTGAAGTAGTTATCTTGTGTTTCTTATTGGTGAGCACTTTGCACCAAGATTGGTCGTGACTGCCATTAGGGGTCTGATGATGAGAACGAAGGACAGCTTATAGGGAACTCCTGAACGGTTCACAGTAACTACCTCGTGTTTGGACTTAATTTATTTATATCGATGAAAACGTCGCACCTATATGGGTTACAATGAAGTTATGGAGTAAATCTAATGATGGAGCATCAAGACTGTCGTAAGATCTCTTTGACTATTTGGAGTAATTATGTTGTGCTTGGATTTAAATCAATTATATTGATGAGAACTTTGCACCTATAGGGATTACGTAAGTATATTGAAGGTCTGCAGTATAAATGATGATGGAGACCATTGACAGTCGAGGGAATTCCTCAGCGATTTACAGCACTGAACACTGACTAACTCAGGGCTACTACTATTATCGTGATTTTCTGTCTCAAGTAGTCGTCGTCTTCTCCTTCGAAAACCATTATCCTTGCTTGCTCTGCCAAGTGAATCATCCAAGTCATACCAAACAGCAACAGTATTAGAAAAATATTGATCGGTCCCTCCTAATCATCAAACTAACAATAGCTATATAGGTAAAGGTTACACTATTTTTGTTTTGCTTGGCACCGAATTCAAAATTATAAAATGGTTATTAATATTATTTTCTATTTAACTAAGTGAAAACATGTATTAATTTCTACAAAAATTTTTGTTTTTGCTTTCTAGCTTACTTTTTGAAGTCGTATCGAATATTTTTGTTATAAATTATTTATTCCACAATCGTCTGATCAAGACCTTAATACGGGATACGCCGTTTATGAATCAATATATGGCTACGTCCAAGCAATGCGATCCTAATTTTCAGATATTAGAGGCAAGAGCCAAAGATTTGACTAACTGTGAAGAATACCAGCAACAGACATCACGGCGAATCAAGCGAAATACAAAGTAGGTACGACCATTTCAGCGGCTCTACTACACTCGACGACTATGTTGAAAATCAAACACGTGGACAACGTTTCGAATTTGAGGTGTTTGTTGTCATAATTGATAACGTACTGTCTGCTATAACTAAACGTATGAAGGCATATCATAAAATTACCAGTGTTTTTGAAGTATTTCGACTGATAAAATCTCAACGCAACAGAAGAGATTTTGAAAAAATCGTCAAAGAAGTTCAGTGCTTACGAAGATGATTTGGAGAACGGCGAATTAGTGCAGTTCTCAGAGCTGCTGAAAACAGATGTGGCTACTGTAACTGACAGCAAGAAACAGGAGCCTCTGGAACTGCAATTTTATTAAATAATTCTTTAGAATCGTGGTTCCCAAATTTAGAAATTGCCTTGCGTATTTACTATCTCTCATGATCACTAACTGCAGTGGCGGGCGTTCTTTTTTAACGTTGAAACGAATTAAAAATGAATTAAGGAACACTATGGGCCAAGAACGTCTTAAGTTGAATACCTATAGAGCATGACTTGCTTGAAAAAGATGCTTTCGATATTGAAAGTGTAATCGCTAAATTTGTATCAGTTTTGTTTTATTTAATACCCTTTTGAGAACCGATAGCAAACCAAGGGCCCCTTGACAGAATTTGCTACAGGCCCCGCGCTGGCTTAATCCGGGACTGTTCACAGCTTAGCATTAAAACGCTGTGATAAGTACGTAGGTCGACGTTTTACTTCGCAACAACAAAACAATTCTGTAAAATAAAAATCCTACTGAGATGCACGATGTTTTTTGTGCGGGTCGTCTGCATTTATTTATTACGTACATTACTGTTCGTAACTTCAAACGCGTAATTTATTTAGAAAAATCGAAAATTCAGGTAGTGTTTGTTTGGAAAAAAGTTTTGTAATAATACTTAAATGTCGATTGCGCAAAAAAATAAAAAATAAAAATGCATCTTTGACCTTCAATTTCTCGAGAACACGTGGAGTCCCAATTATGGTCTTAAAGAAAAAAAATTATGCAAATAATGGGTAGAATACGTGGCATTCGGCTTCATTAAGTGTCTTTTTACACCCTGTATTTACAGTCAGGGGTCAAAAATGCAATTTTGCACTTTACCAAATTTAAAATGACCAAAATATCTTTGTAGAATAGAGTCAATGGTTGAGGACTGCTTTAATTTATAGCATAGAATCTAAATTATTGAATAAACTGGCTGTGAACCATTGAACTTTTACTACAAAGAAATTTTTGTCATTTTAAATATGGTAGAGTGTAATTGCATTTTTGACCCCTGACTATATACATCCATACATTGTCAGAAACTGTCACATTTATAATATTAATTATAAGGATTGTCTTTTGATTGTGTTCCTGAAATAGCTAAAATTTCTTCCCACAGCTTAGGAGAAGACGCGATTCACAAGAAACTAGAGGAGGAGGAGGCTCGTATAGAGAGGGACAGAGGGCGAGAGGGCACGTGGTACCACGAGGGACCGCCAGAACTCAGAGAGGCTAGGCTTTGGATAGCTAGGTACTCTTTACCTAAGGCTAAACTCAGGTGAGAATTACCAAAAAAAACTGATTATAAAGTTGCTAATTTTTTTTTACCACCGCTTTTCTTCACGCGGGTGTCGTACGCCCAAGTCATATATTATATCTTCTACCTATACTAATATTTGAAAGCTGTAGAGTTTGTTTGTTTGCTTGAGCGCTTTAATCTTCGGAACTACTGGTTTTTTTTTATTTAATAGGTCGGCAAACGAGCATGCGGATTACCTGATGGTAAGCAATCAGCGCTGCCCATGGACACTCGCAACGGAAGAGTTACGAGTGCGTTGCCGACCTTTTAGGGATTAGGGATTTGGAGATTTAGGGATTTAGGAGGGACTGGGGGAGGGGAAAGATTGGACCTCCGTTAACCTCACTCACACGGCGAAACACAACGCTGTAATTGTTTCACGCCGGTTTTCTGTGAGGCCGTGGTATCACTCCGGTCGAGCCGACTGGTTCGAAGTGAACAATTCTTTTTGTATTTGTTAGTCCGTTGATTGAGGAAGGCTATATGCTATAAAACATCACGCTATGATCTGTAGGAGCTGAGCAGTAACCAAAAACGTGGGTGAAATCTTGAAACAGCTAGTATTTATTCAGTTTACACAATTTTTCAGGCTATACCAGGCTCGCGAGGACCTGAAGCTAGCAGGCAGCGTTCGGGCTGCAGCCAAACAGGAATCACAGAGGAAGGCTGCTGCCGTGGCCATCTATTGCAGCCAGGTAACTAAGGACATATCATCATCATCATCATCATCATCATCAGCCTATAAGTCTCCACTACAAAGTCAGAATCATTTATTTCATTTAGGACTGATTTTTCAATGGTTAGATAAAAGTTACCTAGGGAATAATTATGATGCTGTCGCGTCACAATGTTTGTATAAGACAGTGACAGCAATAATTTTATTCCTCAGATAACATTTATCTGTGACTATAGAAAAATCATCCCTTAGACCCTTACAGGCACTTTTGAACGTCTGTCTGTCCGTCTGTCCTCTTAGTGAAGCTTCGCCGCGCGTAAATTCCAACAAAAAAAATGTAACAAAATCTCACGACAACTCACCAAAGAAAGGGGGGGGGGGATATTAAAAAAGAAACACCCTATAATTGTCTGCGCGGTTGGCGCGGTGGTTGGGCAACTGGCTGTCTCGCAACGTGTCGCTGGTTCGATTCCCGCACGGAACAACTCTTTGTGTGATCTACAAATTGTTGCTCACCAAAAAATCTGCAGGAAGACACTATTCCACGCGAACAAAGTCGCGGGTATAAGCTAGTAATTTATAATGGACCCTCCCTTGTATTTATAATAACCTGATTATTATAATTATATTTCAGATTGGTGATACACGCCCGATTAGTTTCTGCAGATTTAGTAGCGATAGTAAAATGCTGATTACAGCAAGTTGGTGAGTTTTTTTTCTTTATTATTATATTATGTTGTCATAATTCGGCAAAAGAGCAGACGGTTTACCTGATGGTAAGCAATCAGCGTCGCCCATAGACACTTGTAATATTAAAGTAGTTACTACAAGTGCGTTGCCGGCCTCTTGTGGGTAATTAGGGAGGATAGATGATAGGGGGGGGAGTCCGAATGGGTCTCCGGTAACCTCACTCATACGGCGAAACACAACGCTGTGGCATCACTATCCGGTCGAGTCGACACATTCGTGCTGAAGCATAGCTCTTCCACACTTAATATACTAATTGCCCACCCCTGCTTCGCCCATTCTTCTTCATTTAGTGACACCTTACATATGACGCTGGGCATATGACACCCTAAACTTGGCACCTTACACTTTACACCATGATACCTTACACTTGACACCTTACATTTGACACCTTACACCTTACACTTGACACTTAATTACACTTGACACTTTTACACGACACATCACACTTGATTCCTGACACCTTACACATGACACCTTACACCTGACACTGTCGCGACCTCGGCCCAGAGCAGGAGAAGGAACAGGGGGGTTTTTAGTCAGTAAGAGTCTGACACTCCCTCTCGCCCGGCCGTGGGCGGGAGAAGTCATTCGATGATTTTCCCATCACAAAAAAAAATCATCTGACACTGTACACATGACATCTGGCTCCCCACAGCTGGTACCTGACACTTTTCATCTAATATCTACAACCTCATACTCTCTCACCTTACATGTAATACATGTCACTTTACGTTTGATATCTGACGTCTTACAAACTGTACCAGACATCTGATACATGACACCTTACATCTGACTCCTGACACCTGACACCTTACATCTGACTCCTGACTCCTTACATTCCAGGTCTGGGCTCTCCAAAGTGTGGTCAGTTCCGGAATGCACAGCACTGCAAGTACTGAAGGGTCATAAGTGCAATGTCAGCGGCGCCGCCTTCCATCCTACTGCTGCCATGCCGGACCATTTTCAGAGAAAGGTATGTCTTTTAATTTATGTGACGGATTACCTGATGGTAAGCAATCAGTGTCGCCCATGGACATCAGCAACAACAGAGGAGTTACGACTGTGTTCCCGACCATTTGGGGATTAAGGTTTTGGAAATTTGGGGATTGGGAGAGGGATTGTTACCGGAAGCCCGTTGCTTCTCGTCCCCCCCTCCCGTCACCCCTTCCTTATACCTAATCTCTCAAATCTATTTTTTTAGGTATGTGATACAGCAACCAACCACCAATTGATGGTCGGTACCTGATGGTAAGCAATCAGCGTCGCCCATGGACACCCGCAAGTGTGGAGGAATTACGAGTGCGTACCTTTGGAGCTGCTGTAACGTGTAATGTAACCATTCCGCTCGTTTGCCGAACTATCGTTTAAGTATTTTAAAAATATTAAATATAGTGGTAAAATTAAAATTAATCATATAGGAGGGATGAAAAGCATGTAACAAAAAAAGTCATGAGTATAAATGTGGATGGATGGAGAGGGAGGGGGAGACCAAAGAAAATATGGATGGATTGTGTGACAAGTGATATGGAAGACAGAGGAGTTAGTGATAGCGTGACGAGTGACAGGACAGAATGGAAGAAAAAAACATATTGCGCCGACCCCAAATAAAACGGGACAAGGGCAGGAAGATGATGAGTGGTAAAATTAAATGTCTGGTTTAGTTTTTGTTAATATTAGTTCAAAATCACATTTTTCTTTCTTTCTCTTCTAGCTTGAAGAAGAGAAAGAGAAGTTGGCGACAGACAGCGAGAATCCGATGGAGGTAGAGACTGCAGCTGTCCCCGAGCCCGCTGTCGTGATGCAGGATACCGAGGGAGTCTCTGAGTCCTGCACCATGGCGACATGCGCTTACGACGGAACTGTGTATTTGTGGAATTTCAAAAGGTTAGTTATAGCTATTTTCTTTTATTTGAAAGCCGGCAAATGAGAATCGCTCTCATCTTTGGAACGGATCTGCCCGATACCAACTTGATGCGCTTGAGTCTATTGAGAGGCGAGCCAAGAGGATCATTGGCAATGATGCACTTGTCGAGTCGAGACTTCAAAGTCTTGAGCATCGACGCCGAGTTGCTAGCCTGTCGGTTTTCTACCGGTTGCATTTCGGGGAATGTGCGTTGGAATAACATAATTTAATTCCGCCTAGCCCGTTCCATCATCGGACCACCAGACGTACAGCATTGCGCCACCGGTACATGGTGGATGTCCCACATATACGTACAAAACGTTTTGGGAGCACATTCATCATGCGTACAGCCAAGGAGTGGAATTCCTTGCCGGAGTCGGTGTATCTTTAAGTCAAGAGTGAATAGGTTACTTCTAGGTAAGCGCGCTCCATCGTCGACCGCATCGTCGCTTTCCATCAGGTGAGATAGCGGTCAAGCGCGAACCTATAATCAATAAAAAAAAAGACGGATTACCTGATGGTAAGCAATCATAAGACGTGGTGGCCCCGAGAGTAAGGTGCCTGCTTTTTACGCATGAGAGTGCGGGTTCAAAACCAAGTCGTATGTACTTTCTTTGATTGCTTAGACTAGTTACTACAAGTCCGTTACCGTTTATGGGATATTAGGGATTTGAGATAAGGGAGGGGGGGGAGGTTTGGGCCTTTGGTAACCTCTTTTTCAGGCCGGTTTTCAGTGAAGCCGTGGTATCTATCACACCGGTCGAGCCGGCCGATTCATGCCCAAGTATAGCTCTTTTACAGATTTTGTGTCCTTGATATATTTTGTATAATTACCAAATTTCATTAAAATCTATTCAGTATTTTCAATTGATTTTTGACTTAAATTTCTTTATGGAAGTCTTAAAAGAAGATTATGGATAATGTTATCCTAAAAATATTATAAACGCTACAGTGTGTAAGTACGGATGTATGTTTGTTACTCTCTCACGTAAACACTACTGAACGGATCTGAATGTAATTTGGCACACAGATAGATTATAGTCTGGAATAACATATAGGATACTTTTTACTAGCATACTGCAGGGGAAGAAACTAGTATTTTTTTTTTATATGTCTGTCTGTCGGTCTGTTCCCAGTGAATCGCCACTGTGTTCCCTGGACGGCCACAGTCCGGCCCGGGTAGCGAGGCTAGACTTCCATCCGTCAGGTCGATTCCTCGCCACCACCGTGTTCGATCACTCTTGGAGATTATGGGATCTGGAAACTGGTGAGTTATCAAAAGAACGGAATGGTTTTGTTTTGTTTTGTTTTTAAGTGTAGGAGAGCCATGCTTCGGCACGAATGGGTCGGCTCGACCGGAGTGATACCACGGCCTCACAGAAAACCGGCGTGAAACAACCACAGCGTTGTATTTCGCCGTGTGAGTGAGATTACCGGAGGAGGAGCCGATCCATTCGTGCCGAAGCTTATGGCAATTGGATTTTTTTTATGTAATTGGTTGGCAAACGAGCGGACGGATTACCTGATGGTAAGCAATCAGCGCCGCCCATTGACACCCGCAACGGAGGATTTACGAGTGCGTTGCCGACCTTTTAGGGATTAGGGATTTGGAGATTTAGGGATTGGGGGCGGGGAAGGATTGGGCCTCCGGTAACCTCACTCACACGGCGAAACACAACGCTGTGGTTGTTTCACGCCGGTTTTTAGTAAGGCCGTAGTATCACTCCGGTCGAGCCGACCCATTCGTGCCGAAGCATGGCTCTCCCACACTTAAACTATGTTACATAATGTATAAGAAAATAGTTTTAATGTATTTGACTTGATTTTAGCGACGGAGGTATTACATCAGGAGGGACACGCTAAGCCGGTGTACAGCATCGCCTTCCAGGGAGACGGATCCCTCGCTGTTACAGGGTAAATATACATTAATAACAGTCATCATCATCATCATCATCATCATCAGCCTACAAGTGCCCACTGCTGAGCAAAGACCTCTTTTCACACGGAGAAGGTTAGAGCATTAATCATGTGCGAATTATAATGCAGAAATCTGGCAAGTACCAATGTGACTTTTGCCGAGTTATATGTACTTTCTATGATTATTTAGACACCACTGACATACGGTGAAGGTAAACATCGTGAGGAAACCTCGACTTATCCAAATTAATATAATAAATGCGAAAGTAACTCTGTCTGTCTGTCTTTTCTTCACGCCTAAATTACTGAAAGTACATAGTTTGGAACTCGAGAAAGGATATAGGATAGTTTTTATACTCAAAATCCCTATTCCACGCGGACAAAAGCTAGTCATATCTAATTATAAGTTTGAAATCGCCAATCCGGCTTGAGCGAGCGTGGTGATTAATGCTCTAACCTTCCGTGTGAGAAGAGGCCTTTGCTCAGCAGTGGGCGCTTATAGACTGATAATGAGTTTCCTAATTCCTCTGTTTCTCCCTACCAGTGGTATGGATGCCTTCGGTCGTGTCTGGGATTTGCGAACAGGTCGATGTGTCATGTTTTTAGAAGGTCATTTGGGTCCAGTCCTAGGGACTGACTGGTCCCCGGCTGGACATCATCTCGCCACCGCCGCCGCTGATCATCAGGTAACAAATATTATTATTATTTGTATGTCCTTCTCAATCAAAGGACGACAGGGTCCCGGTCTTTTGGGAGGGGCCGGAGCCAATTCGCAGAGGCCCTTAGGCAAGTTTTTTTATGTAGTAACTAGTTCGAAAAATGAGCAGACGGATTACCTGATGGTAAGCAATCAGCGCTGCCCATGGACGCCTGTAACACCAGAGGAGTTACAAAATCATTTTGAGGGTCATTGATATGCCATTAGACAAAGACAGGAGGGCTGATGTTAAGCAGTGGCCTCGATCTGTAGCAGGAGAAAGAACGGGGGGTTTTTAGTCAGTAAGAGTCTGACACTCCCTCCCGTCCCAAGGCTTTATAAGTCATTTGATGATTCCCAATCACCCCCCAAAGATTAAGAAAACATCACGCATAATTTTTTATTTTTTTTATTTTATGTAATAGGTCGGCAAACGAGCAGATGGATTACCTGATGGTAAGCAATCAGCGCCGCCCATGGACACCCGCAACGGAGGAGTTACGAGTGCGTTGCCGACCTCTTAGGGATTTGGAGATTTACGGATTGAGGAGGGATTCGGGGAGGGGAAGGATTGGGCCTCCGGTAACCTCACTCACACGGCGAAACGCAACGCTTTGGTTACTTCACGCCGGTTTTCTGTGAGGCCGTGGTATCACTCCAGTCGAGCCGACCCATTCGTGCCGAAGCATGGCTCTCCCACACTTATATCATAGTAGTTAATTTTTTTGTGTTATTTTCAGACTAAAATTTGGGATTTAAGAAGACGATCAGCTTTATACACGATACCTTCACATACACACCTCTTAAGTGGTAAGTTGCTTTTTCAATTGAGAGGGTTCGATTCCTGTGTCAGGCAAGGCAATATTATATTGAGGATTTTTTTTAGAAACTGTTAGATGTTGTGAGAAATTGTGATATTTGCTTAGTATACATTTTTTTTTAATTTTAATAAATTATAATTATTTATTTCCAACTAAACCATAAATAGGTACTTTTGAAACGTCAAAATAGAATAGTAGTCTGTCAGTCTGTTCGTCAGTGAAGCTAGGTGCTCGTTCCAAATTGTAGATTCCTATTGAGGAGAACGATCAAGAAACTCCATGGTTACTCTTAAATTTTGTCAAAAAACCATGCCGTCGCCCATCGACACTAATAATACCAAAGAAGTTACTACAAGTGTGTTGCGTCTTGTGGGTTATTGGCGATTTATGGATAGGGGATTTGAGGATTGAGGATGGAAGGAAGAATTAAGCCTCCGGTAAACCTCACTTACAGGGCGAAACACAACATAAGTATTGCTTAACGCCAGTTTTTCGTGAGACCGTGGTATCACTCCGGTCGAGTCGACCCATTCGTTTCGAAGCATGGCTCTCCCGCACTTAAACGTAGTTTTAATAGCAAGAAACTCCATGGTTACTCTTAAATTCTCTCAAAATCCTGCAATTTCTATTTTACTGTGATGTTTATATTATTTTATTTAGGTATTTTTACCCCATACTATAATTTTCTTACATATACATACAACACACCCAGACTTGGAACAACAATTTGTTGATCACACAAAGAGTTGTTCCGTGCGGGAAACGAACAGTTGTTGCAACCCAGTTGCTGAGCTACCGTGTTGTCAAAAAAAAATAACAAATCAAAAAAGACTGTTTATATATATATATATATTTTCAGACGTGAGATATCAGAAGAGCCACGGCCACTTCCTTCTGACGTCTTCGTACGACAAGACTGCCAAACTATGGTCCAACCCTGCCTGGCATCCGCTTCGCACTCTCTCCGGACATGATAATAAGGTAGGTCTTCATCATCATCATCATCATCATCATCATCAGCCTCGTCCACTGCTGGACATAGGCCTCCCCAATTGCACGCCACTGAGCTCAATGTTCAGCTCTTCTCATCCAACCACTGCCAGCCTTACGGATGTCGTCAGTCCACCAGCTGGAGGGCGCCCTACACTACGTTTGCCTAGACGTGGTCTCCACTCTAGAACACGTCTACTCCAACGGTCTTCGGATTCTTCGACAGATGTGACCTACCCATTAGGTCTTATTACAGTCTACAAATATTATAAACGCGAAAGTCTGTAAGTAAGGGTGGATTTTTTTATGTGACCATTATTACCTGATGGTAAGCAAATCGGGTTGCCCATGGACTCCGGTAACCTCAAAAGAGTTACATGCGTGTGGCAGGACATTTGGAGTTTAGGATTTAGAGGATTTAGAGATTGGGGGAGGGGAAGGATAAAGCTTTCGGAAACGTCACTCACACGAGGAAACAGTACTGTGTTTGTTTTACGCCGGCTTTCTGTGAGGCCGTGGTATCACTCCGGTCGAGCCAACCGATTTGAGCCGAAGCATGGATGTCCATTATAAAAATTCTTTAAGCTTTATAAAATTTCTTTTTTTATCCAGTATTTCTCAATTAAATTCTTAATTAATTTTGTTTTTCATTACAGGTTATGAGTGCGGATATTTCGTACGACAATAAATTCATAGCGACCTGTTCCTACGATAGGACCTTCAAATTATGGGCTCCAGACCTCGCGTAGACACGATATTAATGTCTTAATTACTATAAAAATCTTCAACATAATTTATCAGGCAATACCTATGATCTTCGCATCGGTCGTTTGGAACTGACCTTCATCCAGCAGCGCCCTCCGACATTCAACAGACTTCTAAATTAATACTAAAATATGTAATATTTTGGGGTGTTGTATAATTTTCGAGTACGCTCGACTGGTTTCGAGCGCCGCCGGGTCTCATAATTAGTAAATATTTTTGCAATTTTTTTATATTGTCGTAAATTATGTTGGTTTGCATAAAAGGTTAACAAAATTCATTCCGGTTTTTGTTAAATCTGATGTTAGAGTCTTATACATTTGTTTTTTCAACTGAAAAAATAAATGCAGGTACCTAGTGTTTTGTATTGATGTGTGTATAAGCTCATCTAATTGTAATAATTATAAGAATGTAATAAATTTATTATAAAATATATTTGTCTTATTTTCCTGTTGATCTTATGGTAAGCAACCAGTGCCGCCCATGGACACATTCAAAGTGAAAATCATGTATTCCAACTAAACCATAAATAGATACATTTGAAACGTCAAAATAGAATAGCAGTCTGTCAGTCTGTTCGTCAGTGAAGCTAGGTGCTCGTTCCAAATTGTAGATTCGAATGGAGAAGAACGAGTACGAAACGCCATCGTTAATGTTTTTCAAAATGTGTTTTACAAGCTTATCTATACATTATTTAATAATTAGCTTTTGTTCGCGTGGAACAGTGACTTCCGGCAGATTTTAGGTATAAAAACAATCCTATGTCCTTTCTCGAGTTCCAAACTATGTCTGTACCAAAGTTCACAGAAATTGGTTCAGTAGTTTAGGCGTGAAGAAAAGACAGACAGACAGAGTTACTTTCGCATTTAATAGAAGGCACTTCTCAAGCAGTTGCAAGGCAGTCTCAAGCCTTTTGGGGATTAAGGGTTTTTGGAGAAAGAAAGGATTGGGCATTCGTCTAAATACAGACTTAGTTATGTAACACCAAGCGTCCCGTGACGAACGTGGTGGCCCGGAGGGTAAGGCGCCCGTTTCTCATACATGAGTGTTCGAAACCTGACAAGTACCAATGTGACTTTTTCCGAGTTATATGTACTTTCTATGATTATTTAGACATCACTGACATACGGTGAAGGCAACATCGTGAGGCCTGGACTTATAATTTCTAATTTATTAGTTTGAAATCGTCGATTGTTATGTGTCGTTGATTAATGTTCAAACCTTCTCCGTGTGAGAAGAGGCCTTTGCTCATCAGTGGACAATTATAGGCTGATGATGACGACGATGACCCTTCCCGTGGGTATCATGCACCCTGCTGAAAACTGATAAACCTAAAGCTTGTGAGGAAAAGAGAGGAGGTAAAATACAGGGAAGTGATCGGCGGCGGCGACCTCTCGCGCCCGGCCTTAGTCGAGGCCATGGTGCGGAGTGAGAGGAACTGGGACGCCGTCTCCTCCTTTTGTGAAGCAGTCATGCTCGCAAAGAGAGAGGCGGCCCGCGTGAGGGAGCAATCCTCCTCCTCACGCCTCAGCAGCCGCAACAGGCGACACTACAGGCGTCGGGGATCAAGGGACGATCTCCGGCCACCGTAAGTACGGGCCTGCGGTCGGCGAGTAAGGGCAGCTCGCCGCCCGACCAGAACCAGGCCCGAACGTACGGCGCGTAGCGTTCCGCGCGCGCCTCAAAGAGCCAATAGACCACCACAGACGGGCCCTATAGGGCTGATGCTCAGCCGGGGTTGCGGGGTAAGCGCAATGAGGCACCGCGACCTCGGCCCAGAGCAGGAGAAGGAACAGGGGGGTCTTTAGTCAGTAAGCGTCTGACACTCCCTCCCGCCTGGCCCTGGGCGGGAGAAGTCATTTGATGATTTTCCCCTCACAAAAAAAAAAAAGGGTAAAATACACCCACGACACAGAAACACATTGTGAAAATTTTAATAATTTTATTTTTGTACGGTTTTCGCACAAACATTGCAATATTTTAACATTATATTTACAAATTGCGAAGACAATTACTAACCTAAACGGGAACCGTATAGACTGAAACAACTTTCGAATGTACACCTAGCCTAGACGGACAAGGGTTCGATGCCCGACCATAACACGACTACAAATGAAAAAAAGTACGAAAATTTTCGAATCGGGCCAGCTGTGTCTGCTTACCTCACATTTATAAGGTTTTAATTCCAAAGTTGTTTCAAAATACATCTAGATTACATCAGGACTATTTACTCGCAACTTCTTTACCGACATTTTAGGTCACCCATCATTTTCTATACCTCAAATCCTGAAGTAAAGGAGACGTTCAACAAGATTAGAACTACTAATTCAGCTAACAGTTAGAACACAATTATTTTACAATTAATATATGGGTAGTAATATTTGTTGTATCGGAAACAGCTTGACAGATTTTGATAATACACAGAAAGCAAATAAAAATACATTTTCTTTATTATAAATGTATAAGGTTATAAGAATGTATGGATATACTTGTGATGCTTCGGATTAAAACTTTTCTTATTGAAAGAATAATATAAAAATTGTGTTTTATTAAAATTAAAAGTTTAAGCCACGTCAAATGCTTATTTATAATCATGAACTTAAAAAGACTGTATAATAAACATCGAAATAATATAAAACCAACTAAAAACAGAAAGTTTAAATTTAAAAACATTCCTTTTCTACAAAAAGTGAATTAACTATCTTTTAAACTAGGAAAGAATTTTGAAAAAGTTTTTTTGTATTTCAGGAACTTTATCTAAAACATTACGCTATAACATATTATAGGGGCATAGCAGTGATTAAACAAAAATTACTACCCACGAAAAACTTGTAACATTAATATTAACTATACTAGATATCAAAGACTGACTTACTTATATATAAAGAAAATATGTACATAGCTAATTTTTTTCTATATATATTTATATAAGAGAAACAACTGTTTCATTGTTCCCATGTGAATTTTTCATTTTTTTTATATATATATTTTTAAAATTATTGTATGTAATATCTATAGTTATGAAATTAAAGTTAATAATATACTCCGGAGATCATTTCGGTGACTCGAAAATAACTTTGTTTTGAATATCAAGCATTTAATATGACAGAGGATACTCTCAAATTTTATTTGTTGAATTAATTATTTTTGATGATCAATGATATTATAAGTAAAATGGTATAGATAGGTTACCTAAACAAAATTAGTTTTTCAAAAACGACACACTGATACACACATGAACAATTCGTATGTTTAGACGTCAAAGTGAGATGGCATGATTCAATAACCGCGAGCGAAAAAGAGACAAATATGAAAAAGTGTGGCTAGTTAGCCACATTGTAATGTATCACTTGCTGAGCGCTTGTAACCTATCTACACCTTTTTACTTATAATATCATTGTTGATCATACACCGTTGCGTTAAGGGCTGGTTTTTAAGACAAATTATATTAAATATTAACGTAACCGATTTTGAATGTTATTTTACAGGTAATAAAGTGTTTTTATCCTGTTTTCAACGAACTTTGGTGGCCTAGTGGCCGACATCATGGGTTACTACAGCTTTGGAAATCTCCATCCAGTCAAATTTAGTCTTTTCTCTACCTATATATATTATGAAAAAAAATGGCAGTTTTTATCCTAACAACGGGGTATTTTTGATAACTATTTTACAATATTTTGAGCGATAACGGCGACCCCGACCTCTTTTAATGTATAAATCAAAAATTCAAAAACGTCCGTTCGTATACTTACAAAAATTTTAAAAAGTTACCCCAAATAATGCCAATTTTTTATTTTGTTACTTTTTAAGATCCAGTTTTTTGCACGTTGAGGTATACTCAGTGTTGTTTACCTGTCTGTCTGTTAGCGATTTACACCTAATCGGATAGTCTAAAATAAACAGAATCGATTTAGTACTTTAAAAAAGTCAAAATTCGATGACAATTACAAGTATACCTTGACGTGAGAGTAAGTCACCATTTTTTTAATCACATGTAGCCTACGACTAGAATTAGTTCTTCGTTGTGGGCGTAGCGACACCAAGGTTAAGCAGAGATGGGTACCGGAGCTGATTGGTCATTAGGTACGCGAGTTGGCGCTGATCCATGGGCCCTAGGCTGCTGTAGAGGGCCATGTAGGGCTCCATAAGCGAGGTCATTGGCAGAGAGTTCTTCTGCATCTCCATAAGCTGCGCTAAATTTTGACCCTGATGATGGCCATGTCCTGTGGGGGAATCGTCTCTGACCTGGTAGCTCGGTATGTTTATCGCTGGCTTCTTCTGAGTCGTGCCAGGAGAAGTATACTTAGGGTAAGTCTCTTTTGGAGGAGTCGGGGTCTTCGTAGACATGAACTTGCCATTACTGGAACGTTTCTGCGGAGGCCTGTTCTTCCCCGGACTGGACGCTTTATTGACTAAAGTTATTTCTAAGTTGGACCCCACCACGGCCTTCCCGTCGACTAGAGTGTAGTTCTTAGTCAAGTTTTGAGGTGTGTGGTTCGGAGATGGCGATGGGGGGACTCTTACTATCTCTACAGCTGGCTTCGGGGGCGACGGACTTGTGGATTTGCAAGTCAGGTCTAGGATATCTTGGGGGGTGGTTTGCGTGGGGGGCGCTCGTAGTGGCTTGACCGGGGCTCCGTGTAGTACGTGTGGGGGCGGCATGAAGGGGTCCTTGGGGTTCCCGTAGACGGTTTTCTCGGGGCCCGTGTTACCGAATATTGAGGATGCTTGGATCACTTTGGGGGGTTGGACCCCGTTGGCGTAATTAGGTATGATGTTGTACATATGGAACAGCTGTGCTTGCGTCATGATCTGATGCTGTACTGTCGGGTTCAGGATCATAGGGGGCGGCATCATGTGGGGGGCGACGCCCTGCCAGGGGGGTAGGGCTGTCACTTCGAGACCCCTTTCTTTGAGAATGTCTAGCTTCTTCTTCTTGACAGCTTGTGGGCTCTCAGGATATTCATCCAAGTCGATGATTTCTGGTGTTTTGGGTTTGTATGGGACCTGGAATGATGAGTTTTTTTTATATTGATTATGGATTTTTTTTTCTTATTTTCTAAAGTATATGGAAAATGTTTCCTTGTATCTGTAGCGCTTGAATTTTCAAATATGAACATTATTATTAGGTGTACATTAGTTCTACACAAGCGCACTTTTGCGCAAGTTAGAACGACACTAGATTTTAACAGTACAAATCTAATTAGTTTACAACAGAAATCAAAATTGAGTTAAAAAACAATTTTGCGCAAAACTTGCGCTACTTGCGCAAACTGCGCTAAAACTTCTAATGATAATTTAACATATGATCTCATGGTGTGTTGATAATACATAAGAATATTTTTTTGAAAATATCTATTTGAAAATGTCTATCACTCCGGTCGAGCCGACCCATTCGTGCCGAAGCTTGGCTCTCTCATACTTGGGTCCTTGAAAATGTCCCTCATTCAAAGTGTCACCATATAACTATGTTTAACATGTATGTCTGTATGTTTTCGCTTACCTCGACGATGTCGTCATCCTGCGCGGACTGCGTGTGTGGATGTTGTATCCCGAAGTTGGTCCGCGGCCCCCGGCCCGCGCCCGAACTGTCGCCCGCCGCGGGGACCGGCGCTGGAATGGAATGAATATCTTATTAATATTATAAATGCGAAAGTTACGATGTTTGGATGTTTGTTACTCAATCACGTCAAAACGGCTGAGCGTATTTCAATGAAGTTTGGCACAGGCATAGGATACACTCCCGAATAGGACATAGGCTGCTTTTTATCAACATATCACGCGGGCGTAGCCGGGGGCGGAAGCTAGTATGTAATAAGTCCCATATAATTTTAATTCTTCAAAATTAAAATGACAATTAATAGTTCACGTAATTATTAGACCAGGAATGCTACTCATAAATATGAGCCCTGGTCGTTATGTAAGTTAGCCATTAAAAAACAAATACTAATATTATAAAGAGGTAAAATTTGTAAGTTTGTATGTAGGGGGTAATCTTTGGAACCGCTGGTCGGATTGCCAAAATTCTTTCACTGATAGGTAGCTCCAATGTTCACCGACCAGCGGTTCCAAAGATTACCCCCTACATACAAACTTACAAATTTTACCTCTTTATAATATTATAGTACAGACAGGTAAGCAAGTATGAAAGTGTATATATAAGTGGAGTACATACGTGTGTGTGTGGGTGCATGTGTGGGTGGTCGCGTGGGTTTGACGCGCACTGCGCGCAGGGAACTGCGACCCACTGGACGGGATAACTTCTGCAATCAGAAATAATATCATATTATATACATACTAAGTGTGGGAGAGCCATGCTTCGGCTCCACCGATTCTTCTCTGCATCACCCAAAGGTCAGACTGGCAGAATGCTTAAAGCATTAAGTCCACCTTGTGCACATTTAGGAGTAAAACTAACATTATCACACGAGATTCTTATATATATATCTATAACCCTCCCTAATCCTTCCCCGCTCCCAATCCCTCGTCAATCCCTAAATCTCCAAATCCCAAATCTCGTAAATCCTCCGTTGTGGGTGTCCATGGGCGGCGCTGATTGCTTACCATCAGGTAGAGTCCGTCTGTCGTGTGCCGGCTAATTACATAAAAAAAACCCCACATATCAAACGACAAAAACCGTTAGGGCAGTTTACAAAATCACATGCTTTTTCAGGCAATCAGCACCATATTTGTGAATTGTGAATGATTTGTGAATTTAAATCATCCAGGGCGCCACACAAACGTATAGAATAAAGTTCATTTAAATCGGTCAAGCCGTTTAGGAGTTCAATGACATACACACATACAGCAGAATAATATATATAAAGATGATAAACTTACCAAATCGGTAGGAGCTGGGCTGGGGTGTCCGTTCATAGGCGCCGCGCGGGTCAAATCCGCCCCTGTACATATTCAATTTTTCAAAGTCAAAATCAAAATAAATAAATTATTTCAAATAGACCATAACAGACACTTTTGAACGTCATACAAAAAAAATATCATAAGGTTAAACCTTTATGTGTGTCAGTCTGTCCGTCTGTCGTATTATTGCAATAAACTAAACTAGAATATAATGTAGGCAGTAACCATCCCATCATCAGCCTATAAGTGCCCACTGCTGAGCAAAGGCCTCTTCTCACACGGAGAAGGTTTGAGCATTAATCACTACGCTTGCTCAAGGCGGGTTGGCGATTTCAAACTTATAATTAGAAACTATAAGTCGAGGTTTCCTCACGATGTTTACCTTCACCGTATGTCAGTGGTGTCTAAATAATCATAGAAAGTACATATAACTCGGAAAAAGTCATATTAGTACTTGCCAGGTTTCGAACCCGTACTGACGGTGTAGGTTTCCTCAGATACCTCAAACCCGGCTGAATCATTTTACCATATTACTAGCTACTCTCGCGCGGTGTCACCCGCTGCTCGTCTCCATTTAATGGGAGCGTGATGTTTTATAGCCTATAGCACTCAGGAACATTGTAGCTATCTATCAGTGAAAGAATTTTGGAAATCCGACCAGTGGTTTCAAAGATAACCCTCTACATACAAACTTACATATTTTACCTCTTTATAATATTAGTATAGATTTAAAAATGAGAAATAAAAAATTAAAACTCACCCATACTGTATTTCTGTAAATCATTCAGGTAGTTCTGTGTAAAGTCTTTGCCCTCTTTCTGTCCCTCCCCTACCTTGACGTCGCCCTCCAACAGTTTAACTGACGGTTCTATTAACTTTTCCACCGGTTTAACTGATATTTTAACCATCTTCTCTTCCTTAGGTAAAGACTCGAGAAACTCTCTGTTCAACTCTTCGGCGTTTTTAACTATAATTTCATCTTTGGTATTAATCTCTCCTGTTTCACAATCGACATTCTGTTTACCATTCTGGTCGTTACCATTACCATTCTTGCCGTTACCATTCTGGTCGTTACCTAACTTGTCGGATTGGTCGAATTGGTCATGTTGCTCGATTTTAGGTGAGGGAGTGCGAAGGATTTTGACGTCATCGTCTCTGAGGGGGGAGTCTGTGACGTCAATGGTGGCTATGGTGTGTGGCTCGTCTAGTTTCCCGTTGTGTTTGTAGGAGGGGGCGAAACCGTTGTTCCGTTCGTGGTTCTCGAATGGTAGGAGGAATCTGGAAGTATTATTTATAATGTAGATTCATCATGTACTAGGCAGTGCTAGTGTAATTGTGTAATAGCTATTCTAGCGCGGCTCCATTTGATCGTAGCGTGATGTTTTATAGCCTATAGCACTCAGGAACATTGTAGCTATCTATCAGTGAAAGAATTTTGGCAATTAGACCCGCGGTTCCAAAGATTACCCCTACATACACACTTACAAATTTTACCTCTTTATAATATTAGTATAGATATACTATAGTGAATACATAGATTAATATATATTTTATTATTAAAGTAACTCGAGTTTTAAAGCGATAATTCGATTAAAATGCTCAAATTAATCAAGAAACATTGTATTGTAGCTATCTCTCAATTGAAGAATTTTGGAAATCTAACCAGCAGGATCAAAGATTGTCCACTACATACAAACTTTATCTTTTTATAATATAAAGTGTTGATTAACTAAGTAAGTAGTACCTCTCGTAGTGCCTCCGTGTCCTGGCGGGCTGGTCCCTCGCGAGTTCCCTCCAGAGTCGGAGGCGGCAGACTGCCTCGTACCCGCCGCGGGACTGCACGCCCGCGTACAGCGCGCGGAGCGATACTGGAACGCGATACATTCATTATGTCAAGGTGTTACACGGACAAAATAGTCAAAGTCAAAGTCAAAATCGTGTTATTATAAACAAAAACGGTAGTTTCCAACTAGTCAAATGTCAAAAACGATACTTTTCTATAAAAAACTTAGTTATGACGTCATAACATTTTTACGTCAAATAGCTTACTTATTTCTTAATAATTAGCTTAAAAAATATCTGAAACTGAGTGTATCGATCGATCGATGAATAAAAGTATTTTTTTTTATGTCATAGATCGAATCAAACAAACAAACTAATAAGACGGTAATCCGTCTGCAAACGAGCAGACGGATTACCTGATGGTAAGTAATCAGCGCCGCCCATGGACACCCGCAACGTAGGAGTTACGAGTGCGTTCCGGGTACCTTTTAGGGATTAGGGATTTGGAGATTTAGGGATTGAGGAGGGATTGGGGGTGGAGAAGGATTGGGCCTCCGGAGTATAGTTATTTTTCAATATTTTATTGTATTGAAACGTCGAATTAATTTATTTTTGACCTAGGAAACTACACAATTATAAAAAACTCATGCTACAGTCAAAGTCGAAGTCCATTTATTCCAACTAAAAAGTACTGCTGTAGTGTAATTCAAAGTTAAAGTCAATTAATTTAAACTAAATTGTTTAACAGTCGTGGTGGCCCGCAGGTTAAGGCGCCCCCCGTTCTCATGCATGAGGGTGTGGGTGCGAAACCTGGCAAGTACCAATGTGTATTATGAGATAGATGTCGCTACACTACTTATAATAAACTTACAATTCTTCAAGCTCCGATCATTCTTGAAGGTTTCACAGCGGCTCTTGTAAAAGGTCTTCAGTTGATGGAGGAACGCGAGGTCCTCAGGGCTCTGTTCCACGCGACGGTAGTCCTCATCCTCCTCCTCGCTTTGAGGACCAGCGCCGTTGCGGAGGGAGAGGCGGCGAGGGGTCTGGAGAGAAGTTATAACATAGTATAAATTAAAGTTCCCAAAACAACATTGGGATGTTTCTGATTTCTATTTGAACTAGCTTTCTCAGTATGTTGATAAAAAGTAGCCCATATCCTATTCCGGAGTGTATCCTATGCCTGTGCCAAATTTCATCCAGGTCCGTCCAGCCGTTTTTGGCGTGATTGAGTAACAAACATCCAAACATCGTAACTTTCGCATTTATGACATTAATGAGATAAGATTGAAGGCAGTCTGTGGCTAGGAATATTGGAAAATGAAGGTTAAATTCAAAGCAATTAACAGCTGAAATTATGTATACAAAGAATTTCTGACGAGCAGACGGATGACCTGATGTTAAGCAATCAGCACCATCCATGGACACCCGTGGCATTACAGCTAGAAGGGAATTAATAACATCTCAGAGATAGAGGCGATTCATCCTTCAGTAACCTCACTCACACGGCCATACACAACATCGTTGGCAAAAATAGTCGGGTCGACCGGAGTGATATCACGGCCTTACTGAAAACTGGCGTGAAACAACCACAGCATTGTGCCGTATGAGTAGAAGTTACTGGAGGCCTAATCCTTCCCCTTCCACAATTCGTCGCCAATCCCTAAATGTCCAATTTCCGAAAAGGCTGGCAACGCACTCCTCTGGTATTGCGAGCATCGATAGCTTACCATCAGGTAATCCTTCTGTCCGTCGTATCGATTTTTTGAAAAAAAAAACATTGTTACACCCTAGGATTGTCTCCTGTATCGTGGGTGAATTTACAAACATACACAGTGGCATATACACATCACACCCAGACCCAATTGTAGATCACATAGTGCGGGAATCAAACCCGTGACACGTTGCACAGCAGCCGGTTTCCCACCCACTGCACCAGCCGTGCAGTCTGAACCGTATATTATGATAATCAACCATGCTAAGCATTAAAACTGAAAAAACAAATAAATAAATGCAATCTTACCGGTGGATCAGAAGCGGTGTTCGGTCTCTGATCATCAGAATCGGAGCGATCTGATGCAGGATCGTGGTCTCTGTCGTCAGGGGTGGTGGCGCGTCGCCGGCGCCCCCGCGGCCTGCCCTTCAGTCGGGGCGCCAAGTGGTTGCAGACAAACTCGTGACCTTCCAGCTCTGGGTACTCAAATGTGTCCTGGGAAAGAAAAAAATGTTAGGCACATCATCGATTAATGCTCTAACTTTCTTCGTGTGAGAAGAGGATATTGCTCAGCAGTGGGTACTTATAGGCTGATAATGATGAAGGTCGGCTAATGTGCAGATGGAATACCTGATGGTAAGCAATCAGCAACGCCCATTAACACTCAAAACTACAGGAGTTACGAGTGCATTGCCGACCTTTGGGGGATTAGGGATTGGGGAGGGAAAAGATTGGGCGTCCAATAACCTTACTCACACGGCGAAACACAACGCTGTGGTTGTTTCACGCCGGTTTTTTGTGAGTCCGTGGTATCACGGTGCAGAAGCTTGGGTCTTCCGTCCTAAAATTTTGAATGCATACAGACCTGAGTACTCTCGTACCAAGATCATTTCAAAAAAACATTGAGAATTTCGAAAATCGACTAAAATAATTATATATCGGTACCTAGGCAAACGCTTGTAACGAAACCATAGCGCGATCTAACTCGATCCTAACGCCATCTATCGAGCGTTGAGACAACTCGATACGGTATACTTTATAATGATACCTTAATGGTACTTTTGATGCGGTTTTGCTTCGCAAGGGTCTAACAACAAAGGAGTCCCTATTTCCCTGCCTCCCCTCAAATTTTCTAAAATTTACTTTCGTAAGAACCTTCTCCCGGCAATAACGCAAATAACAAAAAAAGAATTAGCAAAATTGGTCCAGGCGGTATTGAGTTATGCGCTTACCAACACTTTTCGCGATTCATTTTTATATTATAAGATAGAGTGATTGAAGAAGAAGGTTTATATGTATAATAACATCCATTAAATAGTGGAGAAATTTGGTTTCAGCATACGTGCGAAGTAGGGGCGGGTCGCTACTAGTATTCTTTCTTTCTTTCATTTCTTTCTTTCTTTCAATTATCATTTAAATAATTATCCTTATAATAAATACTTTGTATTGCAAACAACATACCATTATTCAAATAAAACTTTTGTCCAAAATATCTTTAAAAATTCAAAATTCAAATCCTTTATTTGCATGTTAAGGTAGGCACAGCTTAACGGTCTTTTACAGGAGTTGCGGAAAGGGCTATTACTAGCTTATAAAATAATATTAAATTACTTAAATTACATCAGATTAGTTACAATAATTAGTTAAAGTTAAAAAGAAAAAGTTAAAATGTCGTGGTGGCCAGTGAACGTCGGATCGTTTGCCGACATACACCATAAAAAAAATCAAAGGAAAATGCATCATAATCCAAGCATATAATATAGTTGCCTGAAAATCTAGGCACTGCGTCGAGTTGTATCAGCGCTCGATAGATGGCGTTGGGATCGAGATAGATCGCGCTATGGTTTCGTTACACGCGTTTGCCTAGGTACCGGGCGCGCAGTTACGTCGATTGGGTTAAGGTGCCGTAATGGTAACCTAATTTTCGATTTTGAAATTCTCAGATTTTTGCAAGATCTAGGTACGAGAGTACTAAGGTCTTATAAATACAAACACAGGTTTACAGTTGAAAGCGTTGGCGTTGTAGGCTATAGAGGGCGCCACTTGCAGGTATAACTTTATACTGTGTCTGCTGCTAAGCAGCTATAATTCAATGTTATGCCAAATTCATATATTAAGCGCAATGAGGCACCGTGACCTCGGCCCAGAGCAGGATAAGGAACGGGGGGGTTTTTAATCAGTAAGAGTCTGACACTCTCGCTATACCCTGGGCGGGGGAAAAGTAAATGAATGATTTTCCGCTCATAAAAAAAAATGGCAAAATATATGAATTTTCACAGCCAGACAGCTTCGCTGATATGCTCTCAAGTGACTGACATAGCCAATTTTTGTTGAGAATGTCCATCCAAATTCACTGCAAGATAGGACTCCACCGACATAACTATTATAAGTAACCGCGGGTACGAAGAGCTCCTACATATTTAGTTTTAAGACATTTGTGTGCCTATGACCACAGGAATTATTTTGATTTTATTTTATAAGATTATATTTTAAATTCAACAATACTTAACTATTATCACCTTACCTATTACTAACTAACCAACTATTGCCAACCCGCATTGAGCAAGCGTGGTGATTAATGCTCAAACCTTCTCCGTGTGAGAAGAGGCCTTTGCTCAGCAGTGGGCACTTATAGGCTGATGATGATGATGATCACCTTACCTTGCAGTACAAAATCCTGGTGTTCTTAGTGGGTGCAGCGTACCCCCCCAATGCGGCTACCAGGGAGTCTCTCAGCCAGGATGCCTGGATGCCCTCCAGCCGGGCTATAAGCGCCCTGTACCGGCAGTAGCGAGGGTAGGAGAACACCACCACGCCTGGCGCGTCAGCATCCACTTCTGGAAGATGGACAGTACATTTTATTAATATTGTTAGTTTCTGGAAGGTGATTGCGTTGTGGGTGCATGGAGGCTTTTTTGGCAGGGGAAAATTATCCAGAGACTTAAGGTGAGAGAGAGTGTCAGACTCTTACTGACTAAAAATCCCCCCGTTCCTTCTCCTGCTCTGGGCCGAGGTCGCGGTGCCTCATTGCGCTTACCCCGCAACCCCGGCTGAACATCAGCCCTATAGGGCCCCGTCTGTGGTGGTCTATTGGCTCTTTGAGGCGCGCCCGGAACGCTACGCGCCGTACGCTCGACTCTGGTTCAGGTCGGGCGGCGAGCTACCCTTACTCGCCCTACGTAGATAATCTCTCAGGTTTTTTACCTACCTATGGTACTCTTTTCATTATCAACATCACTGAAGTCCAGCTTGGTGTGCGCGAGTGGGGCGTGGCGTGGCATGTCCGCGGGAGGGGCGCAGGCCCCGCGCCATACCGCCCGGAGCCCCCAACGCCACTCGGTGCCAACACACATCCAGGAGAGCAGGTCTTCTGCGCGGAGCACCACCTTATCGTTGATGGCCAGAACTTCATCCTGGAATGAGATTAGTTATTGTTTTAGTAATGGTATAACATCAATTATAAGAATATATGTCAATTATTAGAAAATGTGGTGGTGGGCCGGAGGTTAAGACGCCCGCTTCTCATGCATAAGGGTTCGAAACCAGGCAAGTACCAATGTGACTTTTTCCGAGTTATATGTACTTTCTATGATTATTTAGACACCACTGACTGACTGACTGAGGGAACCTGGACTTATAATTTCTAATTATAAGTTTGAAATCGCCAACCAGCATTGAGAAAGCGTAGTGATCAACCTTCTCTGTATGAGAAGAGGCCTTTGCTCAGCAGTGGGCTCTTATAGGCTGATGTTCATCATCATCAGTATGATGAAGTGATCAAGAAATTATTATTCCGGGTCTAGGCGTGATGTCTATGTGAATTTGTATGTTTGTAAACGCATTAACGACGGAGGAGAAAATCCTAGTAGGAAAAAAACTCCTTTGGAGTTACCGAGTGTCCATAGTCGGTGCCGATAGCTCACTATCAGGCTTATTTGCCGATTAAAAGGAGGTTTAAAATATCCTGAAGATCTGTCTACCCCGTTAATATAAAGACTATATGCTGACATTACAGTATGTGTACATAATTAAGGCGAGCACAAATAAATCGGTGCGGGTTGCCGGCCCGAATTACAGGGGGTGGGGCGGTCGCAGGGATGGATTTGGAGGGCGAAATCGTGGATGATTCCTTAACCTTATCATACACTAGCTGCTCTCGCTATTCAGCTCCATTTGATCGTAGCGTGATGTTTTATAGCCTATATATAGCACTCAGGAACATTGTAGCTATCTATCAGTGAAATAATTTTGGTAATCCGACCAGCGGTTCCAAAGATTTGTGTTACTGTGTCGATAGGAGAGGTTTTAGCATTGAAACAATTAATTTATAACTATTTGATAGATGTTATCTATACTATTATTTTTTTTATGTAATAAGTCGGCAAACGAGCAGACGGATTACCTGATGGTAAGCAATCAACGCCGCCCATGGACACCCGCAACGGAGGAGTTACGAGTGCGTTGCCGACCTTTTAGGGATTAAGGATTGGAGATTTAGGGATTGGGGAGGGGTCCGAGAAGGGGAAGGATTGGGACTCCGGTAACCTCACTCACACAACGCTGTGGTTGTTTCACGCCGGTTTTCTGTGAGGCCGTGGTATCACTCCGGTCGAGCCGACCCATTCGTGCCGAAGCATGGCTCTCCCACACTAATATTATAAACTTAGCATAAAAGAGTTGAGAGTTCTGTAAAGAGTTTGTTTGTTTGAACGCGATAATCTCTGGAACTACTGAACAATTCTTTTTGTGTTGGATAGCCTATTTATCGAGGAAGGCTATAGACTATAAAACAGCCGATGAGCGGGTAAAACCGCGATGGAGAAGCTAGATATACATATAAACATCTCCTCTTTAATCACTCTATCTATTAAAAAAACCGCATCAAAATCCGTTGCGTAATTTTAAAGATTTAAGCGTAAATAGGGATATGGGAACAGAGAAAGCGACTTTGTTTTATACTATACAATATAATAATACCTAGTGATTATATTAAAACACAATAATTATTATTTCATCGCATTGTGTAGTTATTACTATTGCGAAATCTTCGTTAATTTTGAAGCGTACGTGTCATATCTATAAATATCGCTTTCAATTTCTTCACGCTCTAGATAATCTACAAATGTGTAAGTATGTATTAACTATACATTTATAACAAAAACAACAGTATAATAACAAAGCCAATTATTTGAAATTTTAAATTCCTTATCCGAACATTAAAACAATCTATTTCAAACTTGTAACACTATAATAAGGTCCGTGGTTGAAACAGAAGAAGGAAAGAAAAACCATTTATTTTTGCGCAGAACACACATGAACTTAAAAGAAGCGAAAGGTAATCATTACAGGAGAAAAAAGAAAGAAAAACAAAACAAAAACTTAAAATACTAGGTGTTAAAACACAAGTTCTGTCTATGGTCCACAGACAGAATATCCCTTTCTAATTTTATAAAAATGAATGACTATTATTCGTGGACCAAACGACAAGCATTCATAAATTACAAAATACAAATAATTGTTTTGATACATTAAAAATAATAAATATCTTTTATATCTAAAACAATACAATTAATTTTACTACTGATGTAATTAGCATATTTAAAAACAACATACATATTTAAAAATAACTAAACCCTTTTACCAAATCCGTCCCTGTACGGTTCTAAATGAAGGCGGGTGGTGGGGTTGAACTAAAATTGCTTTCGAATAAGTAACCGACCCCCGGATATTTAGGAGAGGGGGTCGTGATACCGAAGCGATCTCGAAACGATATCGTGCGTACTATCCGGGAACGTCAGTATCAGCTGATTTTGATAGTCAGCTGTTTTTATATTTGACTAGCTACTCTCACGCGGTTTCATCGGATATTCGATTCCTTTTGATTGGAGCGTGATGTTTTATAGCCTATAGCACTCAGGAATATTGTAGCTATCTATCAATCAGTGGAAGAATTTTTGATATCCGACCAGCAGTTCCAAAGATTACCCCCTACATACAAACTTACAAATTTTACCTCTTTATAATATTAGTATATATGGAAGTTCTTGACCTACCTATTGATTTGTGTAGTCAATATTCAGACAGTATTCTTTATGTCTATTCTATAACAGATTATAGTCTGGAATAATATGTAGACTACTTTTTAACGTGGTACAATATTTAAGAGCCTATTTATATATTTTTTTAATCTTTATTAGCGTCAAATGCATGCGTTTTTATGTACTTTTATAATGTAAAAATGTCATGGAATATACTAGAATCTAAATGTAATATAATAATCCAAACTAATATTATAAATGCGAAAGTAACTCTGTCTGTCTGTGTGTCTGTCTGTCTTTTCTTCACGCCTAAACTACTGAACCTATTTATGTGTTTGGTACAGACATAGTTTGGAACTCGAGAAAGGACATAGGATAGTTTTAATACCAAAAATCTGCAGAAAGTCACTATTACACGCGAACGAAGTCGCGCACAACAGCTAGATTAGATTGAAAATAAAAGATGGCCGCCCCTCCAGAATACGGCGCCATGTTATTTTAGCCCCTTCAAAAGAATGTTTAATAGTTATTCGCAATTTTGTTGATAATCCCTTTTCCTGCGGTTCTGCTTGGGTTTTTATTTTATTTTATTATTTGTTGATGGATTTAGTATGTGATATTGTAGTAGGTAGTTATGGGATAAAGACGAGCAAAAAGCTTCACTAGAGAACTGACCGACAGACTGACATTTTTTATTTTGGTTGATGATAAAATGTGGCTTAAATTAATATGTGTAATTGAAATAAATGATTTGAATTTGACTTTGAGTTTTGTAGATAAATTTTTGATTTGGTAGGAGAGGTGTAAAAATTTTATTCTGAAGGTTAAATTCTATAAATCGAGTGGAAAACCATTTTAGAAAAATACTAACAATCGCCCGCGGCTCCGCCCGCGTGGATGTCAATTTTACACTTATATCATGATTTTTTTTAATTTTTCACAACGTACTAACCTTCTCTGGACTTCTACGAATAATTCAAGACTAAAATTATATATCAATGGACTATTTAACACAAAAATATTTTAACAATTCGGTGATTTGGGCGTACAAACAAACATATTCCAAGAAAATATAACATATGTATGTTATACATATATTAAGTAATTTATTAACCTATCTGTTTACCCTCATTGGTATATTATTAGTAAGACCAGATAATAATATTTCTCTAAAAAATAAATATTTTATTTTTATTTTAGCACGGAACCCTAATCCGTATTAATATTATGTACAGAACCCAATTCCTAGCGAGAACAGCGCATGGTGTACATTTACAATTAAATTTAACATAAAGTTGTGTGTGTGCGTTATTGTTGTTTGTGTGAGTGTCTGTATATGTATATGTGTGTGTTTACGTTATACAGGTTGTTGTTTTAATTGTATTAAAATTAATTTGTTATTGATTTGACCGAAATACAGATACCTGTGGTTTTTAATATAAATGACGATTTTGTCTGAATGTCTGTCTGAATCTTAATACAGTTTTTATTAAAGGATAGTTTTTTCATAATTATATAATTTAGTATACTACTGTGTATATAAGGGACAGTTAAATGCCGAAAAGGTACATGGAACATCTTCCAAGAATAAACCTACTATATACACAAGAGAAAGCCTACAAAAACGCCACTCCACCATAGCTAAAACAGCACCCCTTAAAAACCATTCGACCGTACAAATTTCTATGACAAAACGAATGGAAAAAAACCTTGACAATAAAATATGTTTCTAAAAATACAATGAAGGTCGCAATTTACCAATTCAAAAATATATTATTTGAGTTTTAAACAGTTGTATTACGTATTTTAAGTAATAGTTTCTCTTCAGCACGTCGATTCTATAAAATTCTAACACGAACTCGCATGTCAAGTCGACATTCTCTCTCACTTCGCATAAGGTTCAAAATGGCGTTAATTTTGCATTCTGTAAGCATCACCTAGGCACTTGCGAAGTGGAGTGAGCTCCGAATCGGCCAATACTGTACTAGTGTAGTACCACACTACACAAAATGTAAGTCGAGATTTATCGGTTTTTATTTTAACAAGTTTTTGACACAGAATTTTAGATATTATGACGTATAAATTGAAATTTCTTATTTTAAGGAATTTTAGGCAGCTAATTATTATAAAATAAACAGAAAACTGTAAATTCAGGCGATGAATATAATCTGTGCTTCGTTTACCAAAAAGAAACTGACAGATAATGTCTTCATTCATTGTTGACAAACTCTTTGTTATTTGCTTTGTATTATTTTGTCCACGTTTGGTTTATTCGTATATTTTTTCTGTTCCGTGTTTGCCGATAAAAAGAGAGATCATAAACATGAAGTAAGTTTTATTACTGGTTGTAAAGTTCAAAAATAATATTTATTATAGAGTGTTTATTTTGTTTTCTAATCAAACAATAATGTTTCAGTCCGAATGAGATACGTTCCTCACACCCGTCGTCATCACAGGTTTTACCTGGCTGGCGAAGGGTTTCTTGAGAACTCAAGGTGCCAGAGAGCGAAATCGGCGCAAGTGGAAGGAACTAGCCGTGTGCCTGTATGGTATAGATGGCACTTTCAAAACTTATAAACAGAGGACCAAGGTGAAGTAAGTAGTGCTTACTTTGGCATGGTAAAACCATTTAATATTCCTTAATGCAAGCCACTTAAAATAACGATGAATCTTGGCGTGCTCCTTGGTTATATAACTTATCTTATTTTAATTTTACATTGACTATTAATAATAATAAAAAGTAAGGCTTTTTTAATAACTCCTTTATTAATATAAATGTCTGCTTGTAGTATTGGTCTGAGAAAAAAGCGCCATAAGAAGCTTAGCAGCTAGGCGCAGGACAGGACTGGTGTGGTGGAAGATGAAGTTGAGTTTTTGGAACAAACAACAGCGAAAAGCTGCAATTTGTTAAAGAGTTTTTATCAATGCACATATTAATCGGTGTTCTCTTTTCAGTATCACGTCACACATCTTCAGTTGCTGCTCCTCCAACATCACAACGGCGAACGGAATTCTCCAACATCACAGAGAGATTCCTGAAGGTGGAAGAGTAGACGATTTCAAATCAATTGGAAGAATTTACAAATATCAAATGCGCAGATCTTGCAAGCATTTCTGAAGAGAAGTCTAGGGAATGATTAAATTTTAGCTGGATCTGTAGTTTCAATCTGGAATGGATTGTGAGCATTGGCAGAGGCCATGCATCGAGATAGGGTGTAACAACGAAGTTGTGTTTTAGTGTTTAAGACGTTTCAACCAAATTTTTTTTTATATTTAAATTAAACAATTTTAACGGGTACTAGCAGTTTTATTAGTTAAAGACCCATCCTCACATATCACTATTTATTTATTTGATTTTAACTCAATTGTATATTCAAACAATTATGGGATACAATAAATTAACTAGGGTCTAACAATTAGGCTCGTAAGCCTAAATTAAAAGAAAAAAATGTAATAAAACAATGAAATCACACGCTAATCAGACCCTAATTGAATTAAAATCAAAATAAAATTAAATAAAATCATAATCATATTTTTTTGTCAGGGGAAAATCATCATATCACTTCTCCCGCCCAGGGTAAGGCG